AGCAATTCCATTTTCAAAGGACATTAATGTACACTGACGGGCGCCACAACGCCAAAGAGGTTGAGCTTTTTACACAACCTCCTGTATCTCGAGCAACATCAGTTAAAAGTGAAGTAACTCCTCCTGGAACAAGTCAACAACACCACACGACATCACACTGTTGGCCAAACATCGTACTTTCCGCGGCAAAAATGGGAGAGGACAACAGCCGTCGTCGTCCGGCCAGTCGAAATTTCAAAACGGGCAAAGCTCCAATGACTAAAACGTCCGTGAACAAAACGAATGTTACCTTCTTGAAGAACTTCAAGGTATCCTTCCCGTTTTCCAGCATAAAATCCGGCAGGTTCCCCGTCATCTCCACAATGCGGCATATCTGGTTGTGGTCAGACACGCCAGGAAATATCGGCAGTCCCAGGAATAATTCCACGGAAATGCAACCGAGCGACCAGATGTCGATGGCTCCGTCATACGGCAGGCCAAGCAGAACCTGGCATACCAAACCACACCGAACAAAACAAAACCAAACGGTGCGGAGGGAGCACGCGAGAGGGGATAGTTTGGAACCAAGATTGAGTAGCGGGTGACCTACGAGCGGAGAGGGTACGATGCGAGGCGACAACCGCGTTTATGGTCGACTGAGCACGTGGTACCTTCGGTATCAGATAAACAAACGACTTGATAGCTGAGAGCTGTAGCGTTCGACAAGATCCAACGCCATTGGGAAAGGTGCGCGTTACTCCTCTCGTTGCTGCCTGACCGTAACAGTGAACATGGGGCAAAAACACAAATCTCTCATACACACGAGAAATTCGCGCGCACATAGGCGAATCTTCGACAATTCATGGAGAAATTTCATACTCAATGTTAACCAAGCCAGCGCAGTAGTTTAGGCTTCAGCCCCGATTGCTGCAGGGTGCCACGTAGTGTGACTCCTGCAGCGGATCAACAACATCTCTACAAGCGAACACAGATGGAAAATCAACAATCGGCACAACTGAGCTATCGAATACTATATATTGTATCACACTGGGGATGCCGGGGACACGCCAATTGCATGCCACGGTTGTGTCTCGGGCAGCGCCAACAGACGGCTATACATAACACTACGTGTACAGAACCCCCCCCTCCCCCCGCCGACCTCCTCCCCCCCCCGGTGTTTGCCATCGGGATTGGGTTTTCGTCGCTTGGCAACGACGTTGTGAAAGAAGCCAACTCACTTCGTGAACTCGGCAACCAGGTTACCGTTATTTTCTTTTTACCTCCGTTTTTTTTTTTTGGCGGTAACCATAATGGTGGTCGAGTAGATCATGTTGTGCGGGGTGGAGAACCCTCACTCCGCGCAAGGGGGATGATCGCACCACGTTGTGTTAAAATGGTCAAGCACCCTCGAGGCAGTTACACAGTGCTTACAACTGTCTCTGGAAGTGAAAGCACCAGAAAATAAATTAATTCATACGCAGCTGTCATCCGTACGCAAGGAAGTAAGCACAAGATGCCGAACACCCTTAGCAGGATGCAGCGCACCCTTCATGCGACTCGCCGAATATCTCACGGCGCTTCGCGCTTGGTGATGTGAGAGCCTGGTCCGGTGAGAACCCGGCGTGCTCCGTCCCGGCTTTGTAGGGATGCGAGGTCAATGGTCTAACGACTACGGCATGCACGACTATGAGTACAGCCCCCCCCCCGACTCACAACTCACCTCTGGCGAACGGTAGAAGCGGCTCTGAATATAGCTATACATCGTCTGTCCCTCGAAGCACGCGCTGCCGAAATCGATCACTTTTAATCGGTTCGCGCCGCCCGACGGGCCAGAAGTAGCACCTCCGGCACCTCCACCGCCGCCCCCTCCTCTTCCCCCTCTAGCCGCATCGTCCTCCCCACCCGGGGTCTTGTTCATGAGCAACACGTTCTCGGGCTTGAGGTCGCAGTGGATCACGTTTGCCTGCTCCAAGGCTTGGAGTGCCTGCAGCATCAAAGGGGAGGCAGAGAACGAGCGGCGTTGTTGTCGTCAACTTTGGCATCAGAGAAGTACGCACAGTTGGGGGGATCGCTCGTGCAAATCCCCTTCCAGGTCGGCGAGCCCCCGTATGGGCAAGTATTGACACGATGGTCGCCGCGACCGTGCTCAAGAAAATCGTGCAAGCAGCATCTTCAATGAACGAAATTGCAAGGGCTCGCACGCGGTAGGAAGTATTGTCATCTACAAAACGTGTCCCGACGGGCGGTATATGGAGCGGGTTATTGTACAAGTGGAGGATCCTTCGTACCACCGTGCTATCGTAATATTATTAATGTAAGTACCACAGCGCCTGGGGTCCATTTTCAAGCCATGCTGACTCGTGGCCACCATGATGCTCAAACAAAAACGGGTGGAGACGGGCTTTCAACTAAACACGAAGCAGGATGCAGCCTGTCACCTCGAGTATCTGCTTGATGAAGTGCCGGATGAGCGGCAGCGGTAGCCCTCGGAACTGGTTCTGCTTCAGGAGCTCGTAGAGGTTGATACTCAAGAGCTCGAACACCAGGCACAGGTGGTTCTTGAACTGGAAGCAATCTTTGAGCCGCACGATGTTCTTAGTGTCGTTGGGGTCGTAAGTCTCGTTGAGCTGCGAAAATTTCGATAGCCGAGTGGGGCGCATACAGGATTTTTGCGTTCGCGTCGAGTTGCGTTTGATGACAGAACGGAGTCCACAACAAGCAGCAGAGGGAGAAGGGGGAGTAAACACAACAAAAATGCCGCCTCCATCGCCCACTCGGAACCTTGCTTCATCACGGCCCCACGTGGCGCGCGCAAAGGTATGGCATGCATTTTACATGTGACCACAACAGCAGCACTCGTACATGACGAGTGCAAACAAAGTGGCAATCAAGGCCAATGATGTTGCACGACGACGCCGGTTAGACGTTACCACTTGTGTACAGAGACACATTGCAGGCAGCCACGGACAAAAATCCTGCGCGCCACATATGTACCACATGTCCCAAAGCGCAAAAACAAACGCATGTATCTATGTACATCTCTCCCTTCCTCACCAGCTTGGCAACTTGAATCTCCAGCATGGCCTGATTCTGGTAGGCCGGCTTGTTCTTGACCACCTTGATAGCCACGATGTCCTTGGTGGCATGGTCCTGGCATCGAAACACCTGCCCGAACGTGCCCTGTCCGAGAAGATCCAGAATCGAGTAGTTCGTACCGGTCCCGGGGACTTCCAGGATATCGTTCACCCTCGCGATGAAGTTGAACTCCGCGTTGTCCATGCCGTCGTTGCCGGCCGGCTCGCTCGGCACTGTCAAGACTCGCCTGGGCACGTTCGGGGTGAAGCGGAACGAAGGATTCTGGTTCGAGTATGTCGCGCACATGTCCCTCGTGAGGGCCAGCGCGGGGCGCGGGCGCCTGCTGATGGGTCCGCTCGCCGGTCTTCTGGCTGCCGCCGTGCCCCGCCTCCTGCCATCGGTACTGTTGGTGCCTACAACGCTGGTGTGGGTCCCCGGCGAGGAGCCGCGTCCTTCATCTCCGTACTGCCGCCGATCCTCTTCTCGCGTCCCCCACGCGCGAAAAGCCAAGGCATACAGCGTAGCGGTGGGGCCGGAGAGACCACGGATGCCCGCACCTCGTGAGGACGGGCGTCGAGTGCCCTGCGGGGTACACACGCAGAAGCGCGCACAGACACCCACCATGTTCGGAGAGCAGGAGGAACGGGAAAATACACGACGAGATTGAGCGGCGGAATATGAAGTGCGATGCGCCCTGTGGTGTGTGCGTGCCTCTGTCGTGTGTCGGGGATATTCTAGCGAATAGCGAAAGGGTCGCGACGTATGCGCAGGAGGCGAGCTCATTAACGGTGCTGCTGCAAGACGATGGTGATTAGAGGTGGGTTACTGCCAAGGCACCGGGATACGCCAGCTCACATCGCCAGGGTGGGCGGGTGGATGTTTTGAGATCTTGCCTTCCAGTTCTTCCCAGAGGGTGAGAAAATGCGACATGCGGAGTTTAAGAACTTTGCCTTCGAACATGACTTCATCTGCCCTCCATCTCCCGTTTTGTCCCCTGTGCTTCACCTGGTGCTTGAGCGAATAGAGCTCACACCCCGGAACGGCTATCGAATCCATCGACGGAGAGAACATTTGCGAATCGACGAGCGTAGCACCCTACGGTATATTACCTCACTCCTACCGGAGGTAACAAGACCTACAGCAGTAGTACCTCTAGATCACTCGAGGGTACAAGGAAACACCCAACCCGCTGCAGAAGCAGTTCAACCACAGCAGTTCAACCCAGCCCGTAAGCTTTGCCTCTCTATGTGACGCATGCCATCACCTGCTCCGATGTCGTCGACGTCTCCTCCGTGACGATATTCCTCCTCGATGGAGTCTCGCCCTGATCTACTCCGCCCTCCATCCTGTGCTCCTTGCCTGGCTTGCCTTCCCTCTGCTGCTGATTCGCCTTGTTCCTTGGGAAACGTTCTGTGCGGGCGTCCCTCAAAACCTCGCTCTTCGCTGTACCTAACCTCTTTCGTTCCCGCTACTTCTCAAAGCCCACTCGCAAGGCCTCCCCCGGCAGCGTCTGAAGCCAGGTCTTGATCAGAGGGCGAGTCGGATGTAGCAGCAGCAGCGACCACGGGGCACAAGCTGTATGCCCCGGCAGCCGCAAGGCGTTTGCAAGTAGTTTTTTGGGTTCGCCGGCGCTGCAGCGTAGCGATGGACCCGCCCCTCCCGGTCTCCCCAAACGCTCGCCCACACACACAGCACACGCAAGCACGCCTGATCCCGAGTGTTCCTCTCCCTATCGTACTAGCAAACGATGCATGAGGGATCGACGGTGAGGAGAGTGGGTGAGGGTTGTTTGTCGAAAAGTCAAGAGGGAGGGAATGGCATCGAGCAGATGCAGGCGGGGATGATTTCAAGTCATTAGACAATCCTCCCCGAGTCAAAAGCACGGCGAAAGGTGTTCCACACGAGATGATCCACTTTCAAGTTTCTGTCACGGCAGTACTGAGTAGGCCGAGGGACCATCGTGGAAAAGGGGATTAACCATCGAACCGGCTCTGTCTCACACCCTGTGCGACCAGCAGGGCGATTGGCTGTGGGCTTGGGGCCCCTTGTGTGGGTATTGGAGCCCTGTGGAGTGAGAAAGGTGAGGCCATCAATGGTGTAAGAAGGAGAGAGCTACATGTACCCTCGTCATCCAGCAGTAGCACAAACCAGCAGCAATCGACACTAGTCAGTAGTATAGCGCATAGATCGGGCGAGTGCATCTTTCTTGCTATCATCGGTTCGACTGGTTGGCAGTCCGTTTAGCGGTAGACGCACATGTCGCCGGAAGATGGCTCCTCTGTTGGCAGTGGCGCTACGCCAGGAGAGAGCATGCGCATTCCGTACAGCAGCAGCGAAATCATCACAACATCAAAGGCGTGAGTGAGTGTATCTGCCCTCTCCGTTCGTCATTCTGAACATGACCTCTCCCTCGATCACACATCGCTAGTTGTACATGTTGAGCGCCGAGGTTTTTATCCCACTTTCACCGCCCTTATCTTGGGACACATTGTCGCAGGAACCTCATGTATCTACGCCCCCCCTACGTTGTCTTGGCTACCTGAACAGCAGGCCAGCTCCTGGTGACGGCGTTAAGCAAAGTCAACAGCGTGTGGTGTCACGCCCGAAACGTGCTCGAGAGGGTTTTGGTTTCAGCGGCAACATGCGGCGCCCACGAGCAACAGCAACAGCAGCAAACGGCACCACCGCCGTCCCGACGAGCACCACCACAACTGCTGCCGCCCTCGACCCAGCAGTAAGACCTCCACGAGTCCTGAAGCGCGGGCGGTGTGGCACGCGGAGGCATGTACTGGCTTCATTCGCCGCCGGCAGCCTGCTGCTGTCCAAGTGTGCAGTAGGGTTTCACGCCCATGTGCCTCCCGCGAGCGGAACACGCGGAGGCACGCGCAATGCCCCCCCTACCACCCGCGCAACGCGGCTGCCCTACCAGGCGTCCACCGGGACGACGGTGGTCGAGGGCGATCAGGTAGACACCAGCGCGGTGCTGGACGATCTCGCCCGCGTGGACGTGGAGGGGTGGGAGGGCCACGAGTACGGCTTCGACTGGTACCTGGAGAAGGCCAGGCGAGGGATGATTTCCAGCAACTCGGGCTTTGCGCCGCTGCGCATGAATTTCTGGAGGCCGACTGAGGCCGCAGAGAAGCTCACCTTGTGGGATATGATATACATCATCCTGCGCAACCTGGGGCAGATGGTGGGGCTGCCCTCTGTGGACAACGCCCCGGTGGCGAAGATCGACAAGTATACCGGGAGCTGGTTGACCTTCCTTCAGAAGGTCTCCAACGGGCGACTGGAGGACCTCGCCGGCGGGCCGCTGTTCCTGATGCTGGAGAAATATTTCCTGGCCGAAGGTGAAAAGCGAGGGAATAGGCATCATGACTGCCGCCGCTACAGCTGTTGCTGCTGATGGGTGTGGTGTGTTTCATATTTCCCTTATAGCATAGTAGTCGTTGTCGCAATGCCTTGATGCTGCTTGTGTTTTCTTCTGAAAGCCTTCTTGGCTCAAAGTGTCACAATGTTAGAGTTGCACTTCGTGGTGAATAACTTTCGGAACTTTCGGCGTCCACCTGGGAATCTTTTTGTTCAACTGCTTCAAGCAATCGAGGATCGCAGGATCGCGCTTTTCACGGCAGCCCTCGCCTGCCATCGCAGCTTGTGTTTGTTTGGTACTTCCGGCGAACTTTTGTCACCGGGCCGTGCGCGCAGGACGACGGTTCTTGTTAAACCTCTTGCCGTCACCGTAACACCAAACAGCGGAATATTGGTACAGTGTACAGCAGTGGAGTTGACGATTCCCTCGAACCGACACATATTTCTCTTTGTACGTACGCCAGCCTTGTAGTGGATTTTCCCCTGCCGTCGCGCTTTGGGGCAGGGGGCAAACCGCGGTCCGGCAATGGCTGTATTGGACGTTATTTCGGTTCCACCAGCGCAAATAGATACTTACATACCACCTTAGAGCTGTTCGGGCGCCTTTGGGCGGGATTCGCCTGCCCAACAATATACCGGGCACCCGCCCTGCTCGTACATAACAACTTGCTCGTTCTAGATGCATACAATTGTATCCTTTCGTATGCATATCTGTCCCAAGGGTTTTCACCCGCCCTCTCCGCCCTCTGCTGTAAAGTCTAGAGGGTCAACGACTGAGTGCTGTAAATGGTAGCGGAGAGTCAATCCATTTATTTTTCTTCTGACGGAAACATAAACATTACAAATATTCGTTGTCCGTCCTGACTGCTCTAGATCTCAAACTCTGATGATACACATAACAGGAGTAGCATATCATACCAGTAGCGTCCCTCTTGTCTGCACACCATTATAATGGCAACCGAGCTAAGCAGTCCAAACGTGTAATTGGATGATGTTCGAGGCGCATGCCTAACCCTGGCCACTTTCCGCCTCGTCCGCAACCGCAATGGCACCGCCGTCTGTTCGGTTTTATCCGTAGCCTGTCTACCCTGAAATTTGTTGCTGTTCCTGTTCCAGTGAATCTTGATGATCACTTGTGTGGGCACGCTGTCCTAAAATGTTATCGTTTGTCGTCCCATCTCACACGGTACCTGGTAATTCGCCTAGCCGGTCAACCCTTGCATAGTTTTCGGTCTTGCACACAGCAGTAACTTATCTGTATTATTTCGGCGGTGTTTGACCAGTCCGAACAATCTAACACAACCTGCTCTCCCTTCAACCTCCGGAGCCACACCGGATTAGTTCATTAAGTTTGTTAGGCTGTAGCGCCGTATGGCCGCCTGCTCGGACTTGTATGTGGGCAGAGGAAGGCGGCAAGCATGTGTAGTGAAGAAAGAAAACGTAGACTAGCGATCGAAGGAGTCGGGATTATCACTCAAGTTCTAGACCTGAAAAGCAGCGGGCAAGTGACTGACGACTTATCCTCTCTCTCCGCGTGATTCTCTCGTGCTCTTCCGCCGACCTTTGACGCAGGTCCTGTTTACAAGTTGGCGTTCGGGCCGCGGTCGTTCATCGTGGTCTCGGACCCTGTCATGGCGAAGCACGTTCTCAAGTCCAGTGTGGGGGACTACGACAAGGGGGTGCTTGCAACGGTAAGTGTTTATTCCCAGGGGATATCGTTTTATTTTGTTGTTGGCCAATGTGTTGAGATGGTTGCAATAACTTTTGCACGGTTTGACCTCATGGAAGTAGGGTAGCAAATGTACCCTGTCGGCTCGGCGTTGGTTGTATGGCCCTACTGGCCGTTGGAGCCGTCGCCAGCACACCTTCATGTGTCCAACATTTCGATTTATCCTGGTGTGTAGCTATCGCGACCCGTCTGCAGTAGAGTTAGCCTTATCTTGTTTGAGGTGTCGGTGCCTTGCGTTTGCCGGTCTGTGCGGTCGGTGCTGTGCTGCTGGAGAACCGCCGGAGGCGTACTCGAGCGGGGTTCGGTGCTGCTTTACTGCAGTTTTTCCGCGCTAAGAGCTTGTACTTTCGTGATCATGTTGGTATGCTTGTTTTCCATCGTTTTCCTGTACTACAGGAGCAGTCCTTGTAACTTGGCAAAGTGTGGTGAGACTGGAGTTCTTACCTGCCAGGTGTTCAAGCGGTACAACCGCGTGTTCTTGTTTCACCGCATGCCCTTATTTACAGGGTTCTGCACGGAGCGGTTTTTTTCCACGGAGCGGAGCGGTTTACACCGCTCCGCTCCGCTCCGTGGGATTTTCCCTCCAGAAAAAACCGCTCCGCTCCGCTCCGTGACATGAACAAAAAAACCGCTCCGCTCCGTGACAATTTTGCCCTCGGATAAACCGCTCCGCTCCGCTCCGTGGGGCTTCCCAAAAAACCGCACAAGCGGTTTTTTCACGGAGCGGTTTGAGCTACTCCGTCACACAAGCACGGATAAAACCGCAATGCAGTCACGGTTTTTCCCACGGAGTGACGGTTTTTCTCCCACGGAGTCGCGGTATTTTTCTGTTTTTCTGTTCTACTTTTACAGCAGCCACACAAATAACCGTGCCCACGCACACAGCAGCAGTCCGTGCCACACACACATACACTCCGCGCAACGCACTCCGTGCACATCAGTCCGTGTGCACGTCTGCCTGATGGAGTCGACACCCGACCCTGGCGACCGCCCTTCTGGCGACCGCTCTTCTGGTGCTGCTGGTGCTGGTGCTGGTGCTGGTGCTGGTGCTGGTGCTGGTGCTGGTGCTGGTGCTGCTGGTGCTGGTGGTTCTGCTGCCGCTGGTGCTGCAGCAGCAGCGGCGCAACCTGCAGCCCTGCTGAACACGGTGCGCAGCGTCAAACGCACCGTCATCAACGTAGCAGAGACCGTGGCAAACGGGACTTTGTCGGGAGTTTGGACGTATTTCCAGAAGCTTGACCGGCCGGTGAGCGGCGGGAAGAACACGCGATGCATCGTTCCCGATGAAAATGGGAAGCGAGCAAGGGTGGCCACGACCGCGTACGAGAGGCGTCAGGCGCGGAAGGTCCAGGAGGCAGCAGCTGCGCGGACGAGCGCGCGTAGAGACCAGCCGTCTGTAACGGACCGCGTGCAGAAGGAGGTGGATGAATACACCAAGCTGCCTGCCGCCGTCCCCGCGAAGGACTACGACGTCCTCGGTTTCTGGAGGGATGCCGGCAGCCCGCGTCTTGACCCCCACGGCAACGTTGTTTCTGCCGCACAATTCCCCATCTTGTCCATGCTTGCTCGCGTGTACCTTTGCATTGACAGCACTAGTTGCCAATCAGAGAGGGAGTTTTCGGGGCTAGGATTCGTGTACAACAATCTTCGGCAAGCGATGGTGCCCGACCGGGTCGAGATGGTGATGTTCCTTAGGTCTAACCCCCATCTTATTCCCGAGATCAATAAGTTGGACAACGGGTTGGGGAAGCTGCTTGCAGCGCAGGCTGTTGGGAAGGCTAAAGCTGCATCTGTCCAAGCCGCGAATGCGGGAGAGCAAGTGGTTGTCGATGTCGACTCTGAGTGAACTAGAGGCGTGTTGTATTTGGATGGATACACGAGACGCCTGGCAAGTTTCAACAAGAGGCAAGTGAGATTTCATGTGCTGTTGTACGTGTTGCAGGAACGTATGAACGAGTCGAGGAGGTATCGATGTGAATGGTTCCTCTCTAAATAATAAATTAAGTGAATGATTGACAGCTTTTTTTGTCTTTTTGGGCTGTCCTAGTCGCGAGGACGCATACAGTGTCACCCGCGGCCTCCAACCACAGCACACAGTACGGAACAATCGGTCTTCGGTGCACGAAACCCAACGGTTTTCACGAAATTGCAGGTGCTCCGTCGATTGTGTACGGATATCCGTGCGGTTTCGACGTTTTTTTCCGACGGAAAACCGTGCTCAAAGCCACGGTTTCGCGCGGTTTTTGCTACGGAGTAAAGGAACCGCTCCGTACAAAAAACCGCACTACGGATAAACCGCTCCGCTCCGCTCCGTGGCATGAAAAAAAAAACCGCTCCGCTCCGTGAGGCTTTTGGCTTCGGATAAACCGCTCCGCACCGCTCCGTGATAGTTTCAAATGAAAAAAACCGCTCCGCTCCGCTCCGTGGAACTTCAAAGAAAAAAAAAACCGCTCCGCGGAGCGGTTCTACTCCGTGTACAACCCTGCTTATTTACTAAGCATCGTATCACCCTATGTACCTCCACCCTGCCTCCCAAATAGATCCTTGAGCCGATCATGGGCAAGGGGCTGATCCCCGCAGACCCAGAGACGTGGAAGGTCCGTCGGCGAGCGATTGTGCCGGGTTTCCACAAGGCGTGGTTGAATCGCATGATGCGGCTCTTCGCCGAGTGTGCCGATACGCTGGTGGTTGAGGCTGAGGCGGCGGCTCGAACGGGGCAGGTGCTGGACATGGAGGAGAAGTTCTGCTCCCTGTCCCTCGACATCATCGGGCGGGCGGTGTTCAACTACGAGTTTGACTCCGTCAGCAAGGAGTCACCGGTGATCAAGGCTGTTTACCGCGTTCTGCGGGAGGCGGAGCACCGTTCGAGCTCCTTCATCCCTTACTGGAAGGTGAGTGGCCGGACACGATGATAACAAGTGTGGGAGGAGGGAGCAGTTGGCGTTAGGAAACCGTAAGAGCCTGCTCCTGACAGTCAATTCTTTGAGTTGGTTGATACTTGCTGTAGCGGGGCTGAACGAATTGTTTACCTGTCGTGTATGCCGCTTCACGCGCTTGGCCGAAGCCGATGTTAGCCATCGTTTTCTTCTTGCCGGGTGCTCATGTCGACCCACTGGCATGCGCACGGCCCCGACCAAAGTTGGAGCCGTGCAATATTTCTATGCCATTTCCCCTTTTTAGTCACGTTGCCGTTGTAGCCTTTTGTGTCACTGACTGCTGTGTCTCTGCTTCTTCACGTTTCACGCACTTGCCTGTGTACCGAAAGCCACGTATTTGAAACATGTCGCTTTGTGAAGTGGTATCAACCACTCTACCCGTCGTTGCTCCCGCCTTCCTGCTGTACCTCCCGTACTTCGTTCGTTGGCAGCTCCCATTCGCGAACAAGTGGATCGCTAGCCAAGTAGAGTTCGCCCGAGACATGGGGCTTTTGAACACGGTGTTGGACAAGCTTATCCAGAAAGCGCTCGACACGCAGGAGATGGCGGACATAGAGGAGCTGGAAAGGCGAGATCTCGACGAGGTCGAGGACCCGAGCCTGCTCCGCTTCCTGATCGACATGCGCGGCGAGGACACGACGAGCAAGCAGCTCCGCGACGACCTCATGACGATGCTGATCGCCGGCCACGAGACCACTGCCGCCATGCTCACGTGGACGCTCTTCAACCTGGTGCAGAACCCGGAGTACTTGGCGAAGGTGCACGCCGAGATCGACGAGTGCATGGGACCGGACGGTAGCCACATGCCCACCTTTGACGACCTGCCGGGCCTGTTGTACACGCGATTGGCTCTCGTTGAGGCGCTTCGGCTCTACCCAGAGCCGCCTGTGATCATCCGGCGGGCCTTGAAGGAGACGGAGCTGCCGCAGGGAGGGGCTGATGGCCCCGTTAAGCTCGTGAAAGGCACGGACGTGTTCATCTCCACGTGGAACCTTCACCGAAGCAAGGAGCTGTGGGACCGCCCGGCGGAGTACATGCCAGAACGGTTCCTCTCGGAGTTCCACAACAAGGGCGTTGTTGGCTGGAAGGGTTTCACCCCCAGGATGGGGGCCGGGCTGTACCCCAGCGAGATCGACGCCGACTTCGCCTTCTTGCCGTTCGGAGGTGGCACCCGCAAGTGCGTGGGCGACCAGTTTGCCATGATGGAGGCCACGGTGACCCTGGCAATGATGCTCAAGAAGCTGGATTTCACGATGGTCGGAACGCCCGAAGATGTGGGGATGGTCACTGGCGCTACCATCCACACCAAGAACGGCCTCAAGATGACGGCGTCTTTGCGAGAACCGTCGTCTGCGGGGCCGGCGGTGAATGGCCATGCTGCCGCCGCCAATGGCCACAGTAGCACCGGCATCAACGGTGAAGGGATTAACGGCATAAACGGCGCAAAGTTAGACGCGGCGGTGGCGGCTGCGAAGGCAGCGTCCAAGGCTGCGACGGACGCGGTCGGGAATGCAGTGCCAGGGGACACCACTGCAAGTGTCGGCGAGGGCAAGTGCCCGATGCACGTGGCGACTGGTTCGTTAGGAGAGGGAGGGCTTCCATAGTTTTGAATGCTTCGCCTGCGGAGAAAATGAGGGTTTCGACCGTGCCAGTCGTGGGTCGTTGCATTGTTGTTTCCCTCGGGCGAGAGGAGTTTTGTGTTGGACGGAACTGCGTTTTTGTTGTGTGACGGACACATCCAAGTTCAGTCCACAGATCGCCCTTGGTTGTTTGATCCCAATCGGCGTCTCCATTGGGTGCGGCCGCGGCAATATGGGAGGAGGCCCATGTTTTCGTCGCAGAGCTTCTCCTCCCCCTTCCAGACCAGCCCCCCCCACCGCCCGCGCTGTATCCCCTAGGTGGTTTCTCGGTATAGTATCGCCGAAATGGTAGAGAAGCGAACGGCAGCGTGTGGGGAAGCTGCGATAGGGTGGGTGCACAGGTGCCGGAATAGTGAAGTCGGATGCGAGTAGATTGGCGGCTAGTCGGCTCAAACTTCCGTGCTCTATTTTGCCAAAGTTAGCATGTGGTGAAAGCAATGACTCGAGAGATGCCGCAGACGGTTTGACGACCAAGTCGATTTCAGCGCGGGTGTTGTTGTGTCTGCTGTCGAGGGGATGGCTTTTGTCTTAATCTCGCCTACTTTTTTCAGCGGGATAACTTTTACCTGCAATGAAATGATGTGTGATGCAGCGCAGGCGACTTTGCGGGGTTTTCGTCCACATCGGTGAGTTGTTGGTTCATGTCTTGAGTGATTTGAATCTTATGGCCGCTGCTTTGGTACTTGCGATGGGAGGTGTTGTTGCTTTTTCACACGGCGCAGCTGTAGGGGCGAGGAAGAACAATCACCTCTGAGTGTCGATTGACCAACCTAAAGCCCGGTGTTCAATATTGGGTCGAAGCTGTTGTCGTTCCTTGTTATCCTTCAAGTGTTCAATTCGCGGGATCGATCGATGACCGCTGCTGGTCGAGCGGAAGAACGAAAATGAGTTACGTATCTATGTTTTGTTGCGAGCAGTACCGAGGTGGTCTCAACTGGTCCCGTCTTGTGTATCATGTCCCTAAAGCGAGTGTGTGTGGTCGAGGTTTTTATGTGTGTGGACCAATCGATTTTAGGGGGGGCGCACCGTGCTCTGCCCCACCAGTATAATAAAATGCGTTGTTGCCGTTTCGTCGCCACAGGGAGGCAAAACCATCCGCGGTTCGCTTCTCTTAAATCTGTTTCTCTCGTGTACCATGCTCTGGGAACTTTCATCTACGAGTAGGCCTGGCTTCCGTAGAGGGTTTTCGTACGTTCAAAGCGATTGAAGAACAACGGCGATCGGTGCCGCCGCCGATTTCTCTCGGGGAATATGTGGACGCGTACATGTGATGGTGCACTCCTGTGAAGTGGTGTATGTTGGCCCGGGGGCAGCCCCTGCCTCTTCCTGAGCCCGCTTTCCTTTTTCCCCACTCCCCCGCCGCGAGAGAGAGAGTCTGGTAAGAATGAATGCCGACGTTAATTGTTGCAACAGCAACTGAAAATTGGAAACGACATTTAGGGCAATCTGGTGCGCCATGATATCGTTATCATTGTTAGGCCCCCATCGGTGTTTGTGGTGGGTGGCGTCTTCATGCTTCATGCTACGGCGACAGTGGAAAAAAAAATCCACAACAATCGCCTGAGCCCCTGGAAATCTTGCAGCGATTTCGCTAAAGGGTTGAGATTATTTATTTTTTTTTTTGAGTATTTTTTAGGGCGAAACACACACGAAAAATATCGCGAAATCCCTTGCGGACGCTATAAATCCCTGTCAAAGATGAGAACGTGCCAGCAACACCTGTTGCTACATGTTTCTTTCGTTCCGGTCTCCGCTAAGTACCTGCTCCGCACGGTCCAACTGACGCGGACGCTAACGTGGTCACAAGCCAACTACCCAAAGAGTGGCACACCTTCCTTAGCATATTCATAGAACGAGAAACCAAAATTGACCCAGGAACCATCCTCCGAACGCGGTAATAGCATGTCAAACAATAAAAACTAACCGGGAGACGATCGAACCCGGCCAAACAAGGAAAAAAACGAAGTAAGAAGCAGCAGCAAGGCCCCATCCAACGAAAAAAGAAACACATCTATGGAAGGAGAAGTTTCGACAGCCAGTCTACGAACAGCACCTCAGGATCGCCTAGATGGATAAAGAGAAATTAACGATACCCCTCGAGGCAAACCTAAGCGGCTACAGCGGCACTACTCCCAGAGGCTTCAACTGCCTGGTTTTTGGCAGCCTCTCCTCCCCCCGTCTGCCCCGTTCCTGGCAAAACTCGCTTCTTCACTCGCATCGGCAGTCCATTTCGGGTGTGAATCGTGGCCCCCGTGTAGAACCCTACCTCTTCCGGCTCGATCATCAGCTCGAACTCGAACCGGCGAGTGAGCATGGCCAGGCCCACGACGCTCTCCATCATGGCAAACTGATCTCCCACGCACTTCCTCTGACCGCCTGGGGGTACAAACGAGAGGGAAAGAGAGATCAAATGGAAACAAACAAAAAAATGACTACACGAACGAGTAGTAGCGCGACAGGGAGTTGCCGACTGGGCAACAGGGTCTCCGCAGGGACACCCAAGGGATGCGTGGTAGGTGCCTTAAAAGCTCTGGAACAACACGGAAAAATTGCGTGTGTTTCATAACAGGCATGTCTTAATATATGCCCTCCCCCACGCATACATGCAAACATGTGTCGTCGCGCTGATTTAGGGTGTGGTGTTACCTTGTACTTACCAACACCTTTCATTTGTTCTCCCTGGACGCACCAGGTGGGGTCACACACGAGTAAGGAAGGCCACGAAATTGTTCCTTTTTCTAAACGAGTTCAAATCACGCACGCATAGCACGGTTACACCGTTAGTCCCTTACCCACGTCCCTACGCATGAACCAACTACATGAAGGTCCTGTTGAGCACACCTACACACACAAGCACATCCCCAGACACTTTCACCCAAACGGCACAACACAAGGTTTGCCTACAAGGATGCTGCAAAACACGGAGAGGCAAATGAGACCCTCTCTCACCTCCGAATGGAAGGTAGGCGAAGTCGGATGCAATCTCGTTGGGGTAGAGCTTCCCCTCCAACAAGTCGGGGTTGAACCCCGCCCAGCCCTCCACCCCCTTGTTCTGGAACGGCCTCTCGAAACGTTCGGGGTCGAACTTGTTGGGGTTTTCCCAGAAGTCCTCGGAGCGGTGAAGGTTATAGATGGCCAGGAAAAGGTCAACGCCGCGGGTGATCTTTGGTCGGTGGCCGTCGCCAGATCCGGGCGGAAGCTCGTCTGACTCCAAGGCTCGGCGGATGAGCAAGGGCGGCTCGGGATACATGCGGAGGGACTCCGCGGCTATGTACCGGATGTACTTGAGCGACCTACCGCCGTCAGAGGAGAGCGCGCGCGCGCGGGGCAGGGCGGTTGTCGTGTGAACAAAAGGCGAGGTGTGACGACACAAGCTACCGTTGTAAATAGGGTGAATCACGACTGGAAGGGGATGGTGGCATCAATCCTCAAAAGAACAACAAGCGGTAACAGACGTTGTGCGCAAGCCCGATGTACAACATTGCATACAAGTGCGCGGCGGTCAAGTCGGTTGACCGCAGGGCAGACAGGAAGAAGCCATGCATGCATCGCCAACAACGCAGGCAGGCTGTTGGCCCTTTCCCCCCCGCACACGACGCGCAAAACGAAGAGTGTACGTCGACGGCACGAAGTACAGTACACTGACAATACTATAGGGGCAAACAAAATCAAGACAGATTGGGCAACGATGCATTTATTCCCCTCACTTGATGTCGTCGAGTGTGGGGACCCTGTCGCCAATGACGCGGTCCACTTCCTCCTGCGCCTTGCGGACAACCTCCGGGTTTTGCACCATCTCAAAGAGGGCCCAGGTCAAGACGGCCGCGGTGGTCTCGTGGCCGGCGATCAGCATCGTCATGAGGTCATCTCTTAGCTGAGAGTCCGTGGCATCCTCCCCACGAAGGTCCACCAGGAAGCGGAGCATGCTCGGGTCTGAGACCTGACCGCGGCAAGGGTTTGTCACGTTACATCACAGACAAGACCACTCAAGTTAATGCCTTGCGCCTTCCTGCCGCGGAGGGAACAAATTAATGAGCCACGCAAAACGCACTCGAGTTACGCCAAGTAAGCGTCGCGGACATGAGGACGGACCGTGAACAGGACGGTCGTCATGAGCGGGCAGACCACTGGTGACACAACCCTGCTCACCCTCTAACTGGACCCACTGTCCTTGCCCAAGAATCAACCGAGAGAATGACGGCGGAAAAACTATCAAGCTTGAAGCTTGACACCATGGACGTTTGTGTTTTCGCGTGACAGACCACAAGGTATGGATACTGTACGGCCATGTCCAATTTCAAAACACCATACACCGTTTAGGCGAGCCCCCCAACAGCAGCATACGCCAACAAACACCACACATACCGTTAATACCCCGCCTCTGCCCTACCCCTGCTCCGTTCGAGATGACAACGATGGAAGGCATTCTGTGCGTTTTCGTCCCATCTATTCTGCGGCCGTTTACTTGTACATACCTTTTGGTGTATGTTTAATCCCACCAGCCAGGGATACCCATGGGTGGCGGAAAAGCAACACAACGAAGCAACACTTGGTTGTTACAACATCATCCTCCTGCTACGCCTCACCTTGTCGTAGTTTCTAGCCTGCAGGTCTTCCAAGTCAGCCTTGTTCTCCGAGCTCTTGGCCCGAGCGATGAGATCAGTGAGCACCGTGTTGAGAATCTTGAGGTCGCTGTTGAACTTGCGAAGACGCGGCACCAGCTGCAACAGAGGGAGCGGGATCGCGTCGAACGGCGAACGGCGAAGACAGGTACGGTATGCGACGAAAAGCAAGCGACGGCGAGACACAAGAGGCGAGGGACAACGGGCGGTCAATGTTGTGCTCAAGGCACGCCCTGGGACGGCAACGGCAGGAACGCGCGCTGACAGACACATGTACCGTAACAGAGTGAAATTTGTCACGAGTTAAGGCCTACGCAACGTTCGAGTTGTTAGAACAAGCGTCAACTTGAGGTAACGTATGCATGCTAAACGCGAATTCGGCACAATCTCAGCAGCTGATCGTAGATAGAAAATCGCTTGTCATCGTTCGCATGCTTGACCATGCTACGCTCGGCACTCAAAGAAAGTGCAAGAATGATGACGTGATGAGTGGGCACGAGAGGAAATAACTTGCAGGTGTTTCGGCAGCCAGCACAGGCTAAACCTACCGCGATTGCTACCAACACGACAATCTCTCGTACACTTGGTCAAGATTACCTGGTTGGCCAAGGGTAATTCCCAGTACGGTATAGGTGAGGTTGACCGGTGCTCTGTCTCTTTCAGCACGCTGTAGACGGATTGGATGACGGGCGACTCCTTCGTAACCGAGCCGAAGTCGTAGTTAAATATGGCTTTCCCGATGATATCCAACGACACACTTGTCCGGGGTGAAAAACAATCAAGGGCCAAGATCAGGTGCGGGGGCAAACGGAACTTCCAGATGAGCGACGCACACGTTCGTTGAAACGGGGGCATGGTTGCTTTTCCATTTGGATTAAGGCGCTTCCGACAGTAGGTCGAATCGGGAGGAACTGTTGTACTAGCTGTTGCCAAAAGCGGGGAGAGCGTGCGAAGCAGACATGTGTAGTGCAGCGTCAAGCCCCCAAACAACTCCATACCAAGCGTCAACACACAGAAACGTTCTACCAACGATCAGCCCACTCGGCTGTTGCCTACAGGCCGTCACTACACACGCCATGCTGCCCTCTACAACAAACACCTTGGCGCGCTGTTTCTTTGTCCGAGTCCGAGAGTAATTCGCACATTTTTCTTCTAGCCATTTCGGACAATCTTGATGTCGTACAATTGCACACCCTGGACAAGACTGCTTTGAATATCAAGAGCGCACGTACATGTAGGCTACAATGAGGTAGTCAATTTTAATCTGCGCCGTACCGATCCTTTGGTTCACGAAAGATAATGACCTCAAAAATCGAGTATTCCTGCGGTTTCGCCGCGAGAGCCCGCACTTCGACGCAAATGACTATGCCACTGCTTCGGTGTTGTACCGATCGCAACAAACAACACCGGCGCAGCAACCACCGCGGGACAAAGAAAAGCGAAGCCAGTCCGGTGTTGGTCGACAATTGATAATTTTACCTGCAGAATTGGGATTCCATCTCGATCTGATCGTCGCGCTGCGCCACGTCCTCCAGCTTCCCGATGAGAACGTTGTTGCAATCGCCGAAAACGCCAATCTGCGTAGCCCGCGACCGTCGTAATGGATTGTGTCAGGGGACCAGGCGCACGGATGAGCTAGCTATTCTAGGGCACCGACCACGGTTTGCTGTTGAATGCTGTGCATGGTTGCACACAAACAGCTTCTTTTTGCACGCGAAAGCACGGAAGCTGCTATTAATAGCAGCCAGTGTTTCCCCCAATACCACACGACCAACCACGGAGTTATCAGTAGCAGTGAATAATCTTGCAAAGCAGAGGTTGTCACCTCCGTAACCTCAAACCCTCTCTCACCATCGCGTTTAACCACGCATTGTGGAAGCCCGGCACGATCGCCCGGCGCCGTACTTTCCACGTTGCGGGATCGGCGGGGATGAGACCCTTCCCCATGACGGGTTCCAGGATCTCTGCCAAGATCCCCTTGTCATATGCCTTAGCATTTTCGCGCAAGACATGTCGGATCATCACCGGGTCGGAGATGACGATGAAAGACTTGGGGCCAAAGCAGAGCTTGTACGCAGGCCCGAACTGTCGTCAGAGGACGCACCGTACGAAAGGGTAGCAGGAGTGAGGCTTCGTCTACTACCGTCGATAAAAAAAAGCATCCTAATGTCAGCAGCACTAGCGCTGCTGTGTAAGGTTCAACCTTAAGTGGAGCGAGCGTGAGAAGGAATGCAAACAGTGGCTGGCTCCACAGCACGACGCGATGCCTCAGAAGCAGGAAGAAGCCGCTTTGAACGTGGGCGCATACACTGCTGCTCAACACACGCCCAGGTCAAGTGCAGCAGTCTGGCTATTTCTACAGTATGAACACCGTGGTGTCGCACGGTGTGTTCGTTGAATCAGTGAAACTTGTAAGCTTAAGCTCGGGGCTAGTACATGGGTGCACAGTACACAGTTTTCTGCCATTGAGTTCATCGCATTCATCCGCACAAAAGCAGCATCAAAAGAATGCACATAATGAGATTATTAAAACGTTAATCTGCAACGTAATGCTGTAGGGTCGCGCGTCACCATCTCGTAGTACTTCTGAAGGCCGACGAATGTGTTCCCTGTGACCATCGAGTCCAGCTCCCCTTCCGCCACCGGGCAGCCATCCAAAGAGGGCTCACCGCCATAGATCTGAGAGATACGCCAGGAATCACAACGCACGTCAACATCGGCAACAGGAGTTTGGTCGGTGAAAGGTAGGCTCGCTCGTGCTCGAGGTCGCCATTTCTCATGGTGCACGTGTACTTGACGATTCTCCATGCATCGATATCCTGCAACAGAGGATGGGCGTCTAACTCACCATCCGGGCGCTTGTCTCAACGACAAAGCAAACCTTGCAGGAGCTCGGAAGGACTACGGATCGAGGTACAAGGTAACAACATCTGGTCAACTTTCACTACCGCGAAACAACACGAGGAGTTAAAATACGGGAGTCTACAGGAATCACCCTTTAGTACCCCGGTCGCCCCGGTGGTCTGGTGGTATCCTCGTAGTCCGCTAATCGGAGAGGTCGTGAGTTCGAATCCCCATGGTGTGAAAAATTTACGACATGTGCAGGTGAAAGCGAAATATAGCTTAAAAGCTCTCGTGAGTACCAAACTTCGACGTTAGCACCGTTGACGAGGGAAAGGGACGGCTGGGCCCTTCTCGCGATAAAAATGAAATTCAGCACGCACCGCAGGAGGGAGGTGGGGCATGAAAAGAAATAAAAAGAAGAAAAAAGCCCTGGTGTTTACCCCCCCCTCCTGTGTGACCTAGGATGGTTGTAGTTGTACGAAAAAATACACTGAAAAGTGCAATACTCTACACACGCTAAAAAGTGTAGTACACGTCTCACAACGAAAAATGGGGGGACCTTCGCCATAATAAATAGGACGAAAACACGCACACACAACACCCTTTGCCGACAGACTCTGGGTATTGTGTCTGTGTGAAGTCTACGGTGTGTGTGGTTGAAGCCAAATACAGCTCTACCATGACTTCAGTGCCTTGCAACATGCTTGAGTACATGCTACAGCAGTTTGAAGTCATTTCGATAGAGGAAAAAAAATCCATACTCCCATGTGAAAGCTGGACAGCACGCATTAACACACAACAGCAGTGGTATCAGCCGACACGATGCTAATCGAATTTGATGCTGCTGTGTGTCTGTGTAGTTATGCCCAATGAATACACTGCTGTTTCGCAGGACGTACTACCAATGCTGAGAGGTTTGGCTCATGCTCTCGTGGGTTGTGAATAAGCCGCCGGCTTCCAATCTTCCAATGCAGCCGTCTCGACATTTGCGTGCAGAAAAACAAGTACGACAGGGCCAGGGAAATGGTGTGCATGCTTGTAGTGCAGGGGTATCTAACAGCGGAATCCATAGCTGTTCGCACAGTCCGTGCTGTACATCACATCTTCGGAGGGCTTCGTTTACGCTGCCAGGGCGGGAATTATGCTGGCCGTCACCGCTAACCCGGCCGAACTTTCTCTGCCCGACGGAGGACTTTGCGTCCACCGGGATAGCTGCAAACGCCGCGCACTCATGGCAGAAGGCGCGGTGCAGCTTGCGGCGGGCATCAATTGCAGCATAGCACCAGGGAAGAAAGTGGTGGTACATACATATCGTCACAATTAGTTTTTACACACAGGGCGTAAAGGGCGGCGTTTGCAGCGATCCCGGCGGGCACAAAGTCCTTCGTCGGGGAGAGAGAGATCGGCCGGGTTGGCTTGCATGATCCCCGCTCTGGCAGCGTCAACGAACCCCTCTCCGGAGATGCGATTTCAGCAGTCAGTGTCCGTGGGGCCGACGACGGTTGCAGTTTACTTCGAGCAGATACATGTGTGTGCATTCCTCAAAACGCGTACCAGTAGTTCAGTTCAAGTCAAAGCGCAGCGGCGTTGTTCTTGCCTGTTCTATGTTGGTGCGGAAGATGTTGGCGGCGTCTCCGAACGTGCACGGCGACTGCCCTGGCTCGCCGAGCTTGAAGAGAGGCAGCTTCCACACGTTGGCCCACACCCACTTCCCGATGGGATTTCCTTTAAACACCTCCATGGTGCACCCAGCACGAGCACCAGCCCTCGGCGACTGCTTCCTCACTTGGTTTGGTCGCAAATTGCTGGAAGCTAGTGCCGTGGAGGCCAGGGAGAGCGATCGTCATGTACAGAGAGGGATGTGTTTGTCAAACTGTGACACCAAACCAGGGACGGGTGATCCTCTACCTGCTGTAGCCGCTGCTGTGCTACAGATCGCATCTCTGGCCCGCGGCATGACCGGATCCGCTCTCTCCCACATGGTGTTCATGAAGGTTGTTGCTCCAAGAAGCTACGCTACTACTGTATTCGACGCAGTCATCCTACCCTTCAAGCTTCATTGCGTTGCCGATTACTCACTTGCAGGGGTAAACGAAGAAGTGCGGGGTGCGAAGGCATTGCTCCCTGTGACCAAAAAGGACAAGACGTACAGGGCGCGCCTCATGATGTACGTGTATGAAGAGCTGTCACGGCGGCAGCACCGACGAGAGGAGTCCGGATCTACTTCCAGCAATTTCCTCCAGTGCAACCAGCAGCACGAGGAGAAGCAGCTCTCACACCCCCACACGCAATTACCCTACCTCAAAGTCTCCCTCTCTGTACCTCGCACTCTCTGTGTCCTTCTCATTCAGTTGGAAAGCATCAGCATCGGACCCAGAAAACCTTGTCTGTCACTTCCTCTCCTCTCGCTCGCTTCCTACGTGTTCAACCACGGAACCCCCATTGGCCTACCCCCCCCGCCCTTTGCCCCTCCTGCCCATGGTGGTATATGGCGTACCCATGAACCAGCAGCGAGGGTGTTGTCTAGTTCGTTCCAGAGAAGTATGCGTTTGGGCGTTGCCTCAACAACGTGAGCGAAGTGCGAGGCACACATCCTAGGGAGTAGGGGTGACTCGGAGTAATCTCTCCAGTGTCCAGTACACACGCGTTCCAAGGAGTGGAGGGAGAGTGCGAGCAGAGATAGCCCTGACAACTGACAACGCTCCGGTCTTTCTTTTAGTCGACAACAGCAGCAAACAGCATCATGACAACCAAAACTCGGGATCGGGGGCAAGGGGAAGAGATGGAGAGCTTGACGTTCCCGGGCGATGCCACGTCTCCGACGCCTTCTTTCGGGTTGTGGGACGAGATGGAGGTAAGCATCAAGAGGGGAGAGCCGAGCATTTGCCTACGTGGAGTGACGTAAAGATTACTGCCATAGTTTAGTCTAGGTCGTGAGGGGTTGTGAAGGCTGCTGCTGCTGCAGCGGGTCTGAAGATCGAATGACAAGAACGGACGTTTCTAGCCTCAGCCTTGATGGTCCAGGCGAAACAAGCTGCCTCCCGAGAGAAACCCGACAAATCTAAGCGTAGGCTTCTGGCGCTTGCGTCAGTTCCGTGGTCGATGCTCGAGCCCACGTCGGACGGGAGCAGCTGGATAGATCGTTAGCGCTTGTCCGGTAAACGAAGAAAAAACTGATTCGAATCTGGACTGGAGTTTATTTCCTCCCCCTTCTGTGGGCGTGTGCTTGTATTTGTTCGTTTGTTCCTCCTCCTGTCGGTATTGTTGTTGTTGTCGCCGGGTGACCGGTGTTGCCGGAGCAGGACAACGGCAAGTTCAGCAGCTTGAAGAGGAAGCACGACGACACGCTTAGCGACGAGCTTCTCACCATGCTCAAGGTAAGATACACCTGGCGTAGGATTGGCCACAATGTTTGTTTCCTCTCTCGGATGGTTTGCGATCTGGCTCTCGGTTGGTTTTGTGTAAATCTCGTCTCTTGTTCGAACACACAACACGGAGCCTTTTGCGAGAAATTCAGAAGAGATCTCAACAAGGACGAGCAGACGTAGTATTGAGACAATCTGCTGTAGTAGCTATGAATGGCATCGACTGGCGTGGGGCGACGGGCAGCATGAATCGAAGAGTAGAACCATGGTTTATCAGATGTGTGCGTATGCGTTGTAGTTGTGGAAGTCACAGCTACCAGTTACCTCCGACTGTCTACTCTCTGCCGGTTCCTCAACTGAAGAAATACTTGCTGACCGGTAGGTCGCGTGGTCTCCAAACAAACAACAATTCAAGATACAGATGCGTACAGAAGCTACCATGCACAGCTCTGCTGCGTGTACCCCGGTGGACAGAGAGCCACAGAGCTAAGAGGTTGCCGCTACTATCGGGGGTTCATAAACAAAATGTGACGACAACAACAACATGTATCAATAAATAGTCTCCATCCGTGACGTGTGATCGGTGGTGCTGTGATAATTTTCCTGAGGCAGCGCACAGATCCTGTTCTGGATCAGACACCGCACGTGTGGCGGAATAGCGGGAAGCCCAAACAATAGCAGCGGGTATATATGCATACGTACAACTAGCGTTCGTGATACCTCTCGCTGCTGCTTCCTTGGGAAATATCCGGAGATGTTCTACTTGCTTTCGCTATGGTACCCCGCTACGACACAATTGTCGCGCTGGCTTTGCACGCTGCCCTTCCAAATAATACCTGGTACACGCCAGTTGTCGAACCTGGTGTATGCGTGAGTGACGGCACGCTCGCAACAACTGGTGCCACTCGGCGTAACATTCATGGTACTCTGCAGCTACCCTATGCATACATATGGTGGCCCGCCTCCTTGATGGCAGTACCATGTGCTTCAAGTACTTCGCACAGCAGCAACGACAGTGGTCGCACGAAAGCAACAAGGGTTGCCGCCAAGTGTGCATCGGCGATGGTATCCACACTGTTGGAGTACAATACATGCGTGTATACAACGCAAGCCTTGAAGGGTATATTACGGATATATGCATATGTATTATAGAGGGGATCAATCATCCGCGACAGACGTGCGGGGAGATGCCATCATTATGATCGTCATTTGTCACCTCCACGTTCCCCCCCCTTCTGGGGGGCTATTGTGTATTGTTGTTGTTCTACAACGTTGACAGTTTTACTCCCGGGGTGCTTCATGTTGAACGGGATCCCGATTGGCCAGCGGCGATTTTCTTCACTCATTGCAACCTTAACCTTCTGGACGTGTCGTCACGGGTGCGCTACGTCCGCCATGCCACATGCATAAGAACTTCAACAACTTCGTCAAGTCTGTCGTTTTTGTCCTCCGCCATTTTACGGTGATACCACCATTTTTGGACTGGTGGTGGGGTTTGAGCATTTGAATTCGGGCTATCGTAGCAATTCTTGTAGCCAGGCATATCGTCGTCGACGCCAATGTGCATGGTGAAAGAGGCATATGGTCCCGGATGCGCCTTGAGGATATGAAACCTTTGTAGACGTCACCTCTACAGCAGCAATGCCAAAGGAGTTGAACACCACCTTGCCCACCCACCCCCTCCCCGGCGTCTAAATAACGTTGGTCCTTGTGTCCTGTGTCACGTGTGTGTATTTCCTTGTGCTTGGGCAGGACGCGGGCTTGGAGAATATGGCGTTGGAAGTAGGCACCGTGCAGGGGGGACAGATCGCTGCGCTGCAGGATGGAAGGGAAGGAGGACTAGGTAAGCATTTGCTATATATTGTAGAGAGTGAAGCTTTGTCGTTGTTGTACTTACTGCGGCGCGGGGAAACCGCTTAATTTGAGCTGTGGCAGCTTTCTTTCTGTTTGTCGTCCAATTAGGGTGAAGCTGCTGCAATAGACACGCCCCACATCTTGTGTATGGTTTTCCATGTAGTTCGCCCCCATGAGATGCTTCCCACGTGCAGGTTTCAGTGTCAAAAAGTGGTCACGGGATGGGCGTACGGCCAGCCTCGCGCTGTTGCTGCCGCACATGACGCGAGTTTGGTGAACCAGCACCTAGGGAAGAACCCACTGGCATATTGCTCCTGTGTTTCTGTGTGTGTTTGTACGCGCGACCCATGCAAGTTGTTACGCGTACCATACGCGACGGCATGCATGGTATGATACGATTTGATGTGATATAATATGATCGCCGTGCTTGCACGAGATTTTTGGTCGGCAGCAGCAGCAGCAGCAGCAGCAGCAGCCACCAACCGCCCGCACCTTCACGCTCTCTCCCCCCATTTGTGTTTCCGCGTGTGTGTACTCTGCACAGGATCTGCAGCCAAAATGTTGCGGCCCTTCGCTGCAGCAGGCGACGCCACCTCCCCGGTAGCCGTGACAGCGTCGGCCATCTTCTCGCCGAACCCGAGGGAAACAGCGCCCCCGCTCGACTCCCCCCTCCTCCTCAAGCGATCCCTGGGCTCCCCTGCCCCGCCAATGTCCATGACAGCTTCCGCGATCTTCTCGCCAAACCCTGGGCGGCACCGGGGTGGCGTTTACGGGGGGGCGCTGTCGCACCTCACGGAATCTCCCGCGGCGATCAAGGGCACTGACCTGAGGCAGGCCGCCTCTGCGGAGTCCGACTCGCCTCCAAAGTCTAAACCTAAGAGATCGCGGCGAACACTCCCCCCAGCGACGGCTGCACCACCAACGAGAGATATTCCGCCGCCGGAACCGGTCCCACCGCCTCCGGCGGGCCGTACTCGGCGGGCATGCACCAACTACGGCGCGGATGCGCCGTTTGACACGTGAGTATGGAGCGTGGAGCAAACGACGCAATTGCTGTTGGTTTCTGAAGCTGTCTTTCAGGTCACGCGCGTCACTTTTTTTCCCCACGCTCGTGTTTTTTAAGTTTTTTAATGTCTTTTATTCTGTCAGGGCGCTGCAAACGAAGAGGGCGAAGAAGCCGGAGGCCAAGTCCAACAAGGGCCTCCGACATTTTAGCGTCAAGGTCAGTCAGCCAGTCAATTCGGCAGGCAGCCGCCATCAACGAGCACCATGATGTTCATGGCAAGCTTACAGTATATGTCAGCACAAACTTGTTGTTCCACGTGTTCTTCTGATTTGGGCGCACCGCACGTGGGGAGGTAGTTTGGCAAGCCTCTATCGGGGGGAAGGTACAGGTAGAGATGCTTTGGGATCCCCTGCGGGAGCGTATTGGGGTCTGAACGGCGACGTGGGAACATAGGTACGTATAACAGTAAAGACGTATTGGTAGGGGTAACGACCAGCTGAGTTGTATTTCATGCAAGCACCTGTTGCTCTTACTGTGTGCGACCAACACTCCTGGTTTGACAACAGTCACAATTCTGCACCCGGGTGAGCAAGCCCTCTTCGTCCCTCGTGGCATCCATCCCACTTGCCGGTCAAGGTTTGTCGGAAGGTGGAGGAGAAGGGAACCACGACGTACAACGAGGTGGCCGACGAGCTGGTGCAGGAACTCGCGGCGGAGGGAAAGCTCGGAACGGGCAAGGAACCACACTACGACGACAAGAACATTCGGCGAAGAGTGTACGACGCCCTGAATGTGCTCATGGCCATCGACATCATCTCTAAAGATCGCAAGGAGATCAAGTGAGCTTACACACCAGGTTATTGCTACCGTTTGCTTCCATGTGCTTTGCGGCGGCTCGGGGCGGCATTGTCCATCAAAGTTGCTGTTCGTGCAGCGGATGTATGTATGCATCGGCCTTTTTGTGACAGTGGTGGCGTCTACTGCCGCATGAGGTTCGATGCCAAGTTGTGTATTTTCGGAGCACTTTTCGAAGCACCATGAAGATGGGGACAGTGTTTTTTTTACGGGTCTGCGCCCTCTTAGGTGCGTAGCAATACGCTCCTCGCCCTGCAGTACCCCGATCACCGGTCGTTGCTTCGGTACTCGGCCCAGCCAGGCTTCGGACTTTGTCCCTCACGTGTTTCCAAACTGAACAGCGTAGAAATGAGAGTAAAGAGTTGACACTTGTGCATTTTCGCTGCTGTTACCGTGACACAACTATTTCTCGTGCTACAATACCTACGGGCGGCGGCGGACGGAACGCAGGTGGAAGGGATTGCCGGAAAATTCCTCTCGATCAGGACTGAGGGCTCTCCAGCAAGAGAAGCAGGATCGCGAGCGCTCGCTGGACGCAAAGAAGAGTCAGCTGGCGGATCTTTTGGTGCAGCAGATCTCCTTCCGAAACCTGGCCCGCAGGAATCGTTCTCGCGCCGCCGCAAGGGCGGCCGCTGCTGCGGCCGCGGCCGCTGCTGGGAACGGGGCGGAGTGCGCGGAAGAGCAAGATACCGAAGAGGTTGCGGCGTCAAAGGTGAAGGCTAGGAGATACGGTTTTTAACGTGTTCACGTTCATGGTTGCTGTTTCGTTTGGGCCGCGGGCGAGGCGTTCAAACGCGAGGCCAAATGCTGCTCGATCACAGTTTATGAAGATATTTATGACCCCCTGCTGACTCGCAGACACGAGTTTCTCACAACGATACTGTACGCAAGCGTCACAATGCAGCAGCCTGAACGATGTGTAGAGCCGATGGCAGTGGTGTGCGAGGTCGCCTTGATTTCCGAAACGGTAGTTACTGTCCGTGCCAACCGGGCGTTCCTTCTTCGGGTTGATGCGCAGTGTCGCCTCATGGGCTGAAATGATTATCCCACGACACGGCTTTCAAAGTACTGTAGCACAATCTGGTTCCCGTTTCGTCGTGTTTTGGGGCTGATTGTTCCCCGGGCACCTGCTTGCTTGCAACGTTTGTGTCGCTGGTGTGGCGCGTAACCCCGTGATCGACTGGGAAGATCTTCGTTCCCTTTATCGTGGTGAGCTCCAGCCATGACACCGTCATCCAGTGCGAGATGGCCGAGAACCGTGAAGACGTGTTCTTCAACTTCAGGTGAGATTCTTGGAAACCAAAGTGTCCCTTCCACGCGAGCAAACACGGTTGATAGGTTCAGCATGTTGGTTACAGCTTAACGATAATAAAGGGTCGGGCACCACCCCAGGCCGCCGTTGCAAACTGTGCCTCTTGTGTGCCGGCGTGTTCAAGAGGTGCCGCCTGCGTCCACTTTCCTTTGAAAGTTCATTTCGTCACTTCTTGTAGTCGTGGATCGCACGAGTCTCTCTCCGGGGCCGAGCGCTACAAACACCGGACCCCTCCCGCTCGTGTTTTCACAAGAAATTTTCCCTCCCTTGCAACACGCCAGGATATTTGGAAAATGTTCATGCCTCCGACGATGTCCCCCATGACCATGTGCGGTTTGTTGCGTGCTCACGTTTCATGCCATGCCAGCCACGAGTTCCAGATTGCGGACGACAACGAGATACTCAAGCGCCTGGGCATGCACAAGTGTCGGAAGCAGGTATTTCATGTGTGCACGTCTCTGCGTTCGCGGTTTAAGCGACCGTGTACTGCGTGTGGTGTATAGAAACGGCACGAGTCGCCACGGACGTTGTGATTCTGAGGGAGATCGAATCGTTTATGCCTGAATACCTTTGGTGTGGTCTAACACACGACCGCCGGGCATCTGCCTACCGCGGGCTTCTCCTTGTTTTTTTGTCAGGACCTTCCGGTGCTGCTGGCTCGGGAGCTTATACCGCGGGTACCACCCGAGGTGTACAGCCGTGATGATGCCGAAGGCTCTCCTTCGTCCTCTTCTACCCCCTCGTCTCCAACCTCCTCCTGCTCCGATTACTCCCCGACGTAGTCGTGGTCACGTCTAGTTCAGCTGCCCGCGGTATTCATCTACACTACGTTTGCCTTATCTTGCAACGGGCCAGAGTTTTTCAATACAACTTTGTAGCCATGTGCAACGTGTGCGTGAGGGTTGAAGGGCTGGGGCGGGGGAAAAGGGTGTGCGTTCGCAGCGTGTGATGTTTGTGTCCACGTTGTCGTCGACACTTGTGTAGCGCTTTGCCTTCGATGGTGAGTGTCGTTTGCCAGTGTGTGATGTTATCGGGGACGCTTACGCGGAGCTCAATTTTCTACCGTCCATCTTGCTTTCTCGTCCCTCGAGTTCGACATCGTTTCGTTGACGGCTCGTGTAGTATCTAATCGGATCGAGCAAAGTAAAGGGGACGGATGTCCAGGTCTGGATTTCGACCTTCTGGTTTTTTGCGGGCGCGCGCCTTTGAGCTAGTTTATTAGTATGTCATGGTCGTGTTTTACACCGTTGTGGTCAATGTTTTCTATATGTAAGAGTTAGAACTGTGTTGTTCCGAGTGTTAGGCTCACGGAAATCGGCCACCGCGCCCGGGTTTGTTTTATCTAGAGCGTTGGGCAACGCGTGGCAGGGGTAAGACTCAGCCCACCATCCATGTAGGAGACAGCGTTCATATGAATGTCAAATTACACCACCAACGAACGTCTTGCGTTGATGGAGAAGTTTCTGCTGCGGCGATATGTGTGTGTCCTGTGTTTTTGTCCCATCTAGTCTGGGCGCCAGTCTACACCTGTTGGGTATAAGTTTGGCATACCAGCCTAGGGGCAGGTCGCCTAAACGAGCGCCAAGAGGCCTCTGCTGTTGTAGGGGGTCCTCTGTATATCGACCCCACCAACGGAAAATTCGATATTTCTCGGTAGTATACATGTAGATCGCGATCGGTGCTGGTTTGGTTGGAATAGTCGTGTAAATATTTGTTTTTGCAAGCGTGCAGACACTGTAGGTTGCCCACAGAGGAACAGCACCAGATGGATGCGTACACCTTGTGTTTCTTGGTGAGTGAGTGGAATAAAGGTATTTCAACACTTCATGGGCACGGAAGCCAACGTCGCGAATATCTGCGCGGGTGGGGTCGTGGTGCGAAACAACCCGACGAGTGATGGCATCGTCGCCGATTTTTGGCCGTCTCTTACATAAGATATTTGAAAAATATCTAGTCAGAGATTTGTTCCGGCCGCGCCACGAGCTGCCCAATGTAGGCGCTTCGAAGACTGTTGGGCTAGTCAAACGATTGAACGCAAGCCCTGACCCACTGCTGCACTCACCCGCACGGCTTGCGTTGCCGTGTCTTCCGTGGTGACGTGTAACCCTTCGACGATATCTGCTTGAAGTATCTGCTAGGATCAATGAAGCCGTGCGTGGTGGCGTCACTTTAGACTCAGCAGTTCGGTTGCTGATGGAGGCAAAAACACTGTCGAATTCAGCTACCCACAAACAAGCTGTTCCAATTCCCTCCACGTCAACAACGAAAGCACACGATTGGGAAGTGCGGCCTCCATGCCCGCCCGAAAGGCGGCTGCCTGTGAAGCGTATTCCGAGGCTCGTAACCTGGCCAAACGGGCGCGATATTCGCCGAGATTTTGAGTGGTCACACGACGATCAAGACCTGGTGAGAACCATCCGAAATGTAGCAGGAACGAAAAGGGGAGGACGGGGGATGGGTGTGAATTGTAGCAACCGCTAAATAATTATTGCTGGGAAACATGGGCATACATGCGTATTACACGCCTTGGTGAGTCAGTCACGGTTTGAAGCCTGCAACATTATACAGCAGCGGTCTGCCTACGTTTCGTACTGGCGAAACACCACCACCGAGTACCCAAGATATAACTCTCATCGAATTTCCATCTGTAAGACAGAGGTGCTATAATAACGATTTCCATCACATGCATTCCATAGATTTGGCTCCAAAGAAACATGGCGAACCACGATTATTACGAGAAAAGGCAACGAGGAGAATCTTCGTTCACTGCTACTACCATGGATGCGCTAACAGATCGAAACATATGTGCCCGCACACTCGTAAAGTCGTCTTTGTGGTAGAGTTGAGAAAAGTTTGGACGGTTCGAGAGGGAGTGAGCCGGTGTCGTTGATGAAAAGTGGAAACTATTTAACCAACCCTTGCCGCCAGTCCTCACCTCCGCGAACGAGTTCCGTGGAATCCCCGCTCGACAGCGGAGCAACGAATCTTGCATCCGCGAGCACTTCGTCCATTTCTTCTTGCTTCAAGCCCGCTTCCTCAAGGTGACTGAGGGCCGAAATTACCCCGTCTATTGTGTATTTTGGCGGTGCTTCTTTTGTGGCGTTCGAACACAATACCGTCCTCGCAGAATCTGCAAGCGTCCTGGTCACTCCCGGTTCATTTTCGGGGACCGCCGAGGGACATTCGCCGTTTGAAACGAGCATCCACCACTGTGAGGAGAGGTGTGATAAAGGCAACGGCACCCCTGTCCGAACGGCAACTCCTACGATGAAACCAAAAGATCGGTAGAGCGAAACCCTTTCGGGGTCCATGCACACCGGTGACAGACCTCGAGACGTGAAATATGGATTTGGTACCGTGTCGCGAACATGGTCCCTAGGTGGGGTGTTTGCAGCAAAAGCGACGCCGTCGACGTTGTTATCGTTGTTGGCTGCCGCAGTGGGGTCAGAAGCACCCAAAGATGCTTCGTCCGCGGGTGATGAAGGAGTGCGCACGAACATCGATATCGGCGACGAGCACACGTCTTCGCACACCTACGATAGTATTGTTGTTACGGTGTGTGTGTGAAAGGGTGAACGACGGGGGTGCTCAGCGAGAGGTCGAGTAAAAAAAACATAACCTTAGCCTGACCCTACATTCGTGACGACAAATACAACAGTAACGGCAACATCATCAGTAATAACCAACAGCAAATATCAATTGCAACCCAGACTTGCTAGTCTATGTTACCGCCATGTTCTGCATTATCCGACGGGTTCGGTTGTTGTTCACCTGCCAGAACACGCCTCGGTACAGTGCCTGTGCATCCGACATCTGAAGACAATCGCGGTTGCCACTTTCGCCATCCCCCAACTTGGAAGCGTCGATTAGCTCGACTGAAAATGCCAGCGGTCCCTCCGACAGCACGTGCTTGCCCCTGCTTGGGCACCAACGGGCATGACCCCGAACCGCAAGGGACAGGGTGGTCAACAATCGAGTTTGAAGGCACAACCTCAAGAGACTGAGTGACTCGGACGCACGACGGATCCCCATCGGCGATCGGTATATCGCTGGGTAGCCGCGGTTGGGTGAGAAGAGAAAAACGACTTTTCTGCAATGCTCTCGAAGAAGATGATGGATGGCTCTCCACCAAGTTGAACACGAACAAGGTACAGCTCGACGGCACACCTTCCGGGGGTCGAAGGCACTAAGAACACATACGTGGACGTGGCTTGCGCCCTTCACCCCTCTACGTACGATAGGAAAGTGAATGAATTTCGATGTCCCCCAAGCGTTGAGTATCCCGTCCAGATGATTTACGAGCGGATGTCTCTCAAGTTCAGAACACGGCGTACGCTATAAGGAACGCGTCCAAACCTGTGTGAGAGGTGTCTGGCGACCTGACCGAAGACGGATTTCTCCACTTCCCTTCTCGTTTGGCCCCAAGATAGCGGGCAGGGCTTAGCTACGTTCAAACGCTTGGCCGGGAATCTCGGCAGGGACTTGACACCGATTAACGGTATTGTGAACGCCGGCGGGCCATTTCCCAATTCAAACTCCGATGATGCCGTTGGAATTGGCCGAACTGCGCTTGAGACACGTGACATATGGCTACAGCGAACACACAGAGGCGGAATTAACACGAGTCAGCCCCTAATACAGCTTGAAACACGCTGGGTGCTACTCACTACCAAGCCCAGGCAGGCAAGGTCTGGAGGCTGGTTTTCATGACGAACCGACCACGATGATGCAATTGATCACGACTACATAAACTTCAAGTGTAGAAGCCTCACTCACTTGTCCAGAAGTTCCAGCTTGGTCGTTTTGAAAATGAGGTGCCTGAACTTGTGTATCAACGTACCAAGTGGCCCACGACCACCTTGCGTAGTGCTTATGAGCGGCAGGAGAGGCAAAACCAGGTCGTTTACGTACAGCAAGAGGGCCGTTCGCGCCCAAATTTCAGCGGGGGCCACTGGATCCGTGCCAGGAAACATTTTTGTCGATGACGGTAGCTTTCCAAGGACGTTGAAGGGCAGGTCCAGCGGAGTCACAACTCCCATCGTGTCGGCCAACTTGGTGAGATGGCGACCAAGTTCCTCGTCCATTTTGGGCGTCCACCTCGACAGTACATTTCGGGCTCCATCTGTGAGGAGAAAGTCATCGACCAAAGCGACCTCACCGGCCGTCTGGTGTTGGCCTGTTCTGTCACGGTCATCATCGACTTTAGTGGTCGTGCCCAGGCGTTCGACCGAGTCTGTTGGCGTCGTGTGATGGCTGATGACGTAGTCCTCGGGACGACTAGCGATCTGACGCACGGTGCAGCGAGACCAGGCTGTAATCTTGCTCCCGCTTTTCCCAACAAAGCGTTGGTGTGAGGGGCTCCACACGTTCGCCGATGTTGCGGCTTGTGTGTTGTTGCCGGGGAAGCCACTCGCGGCATCTCCATGTCGGTTTTCAGGCAGTTCCGAACCCCACACTCGGGACCCCCTACTCAAACCAGGAGGGCATGCAGAGGCCGATGAAGTCGCCTCTACCGTAACCCAAAGAGCGTGGCGTGTTGCCCCTAAAACGGTGGCCTCCCATTCCGCCGACAGGACGCGGTCTCCTACTCCGAGACCGAACAAATCTCGGCGAGCTTGCTCGGAGGTATCTAAGCGTACCGGCGCCCACGGCCGCACGGACGCTACGGACCTTCCATGCTCCCCCCGTGACCACCGGAGCAGGCGCGACCGGATGTCGTCCATCAAATCGGCCCTGGCCGAGCTGGTAGCTAATTTTCCTTGGTAGTCCATGGTTTCGAGAACCTGAAGGGCCTTTGCCGCTCTCCGAACAACGCATTCCGCCGAAAACGTTCCATATAGCACATTGGAGTAGGTGCATGGAACGTCCATTCCGCCCCCAACGCGGGTAGGGCCTCCTCCGTTCTTATCGCCGGCAGCACTCCCAGGAAAAGGGACAGGAGGTGGTGAGGCGTGTTCTTCCGAAGGTATGAAGGTTAGTTGGTCGTTCCTGTTGTCGGAAAGGAGGAACAAGCGTGAGGGCGTCCTATGTAAGTCGTATTGCGTAGAGATGGACATTATGCCTTCCCCTGTTGCATATTTACTGGCCTCTGTGACTACTGGTTCTCGACGTTGCGCGCACTTTCAGTAGTGTCGTCATGTTCTCACGCAAGGACTTTTTCGTTTGCTAGGGCAACAAAAAAAAAGCACTATCGACCCTTCACCTGTTGTACATCGAAAACGCCGGGAACAGCGTGTCCTCGAGACCCTGCACTGCCATACCGAGGTCACGGCCGTTGCGGGCGAATCGGAGGGTGCCCAAGTCCATATTCAGTATTGTCTCGATAGTATCTCCTTCCCGGAAGAGGTCGCCATACGACCGAACCTAACAAGACGTTTTTAATGTAAACGCTCAGGTCATCTGGATTTAGAACCATACAACATGCAGATGTCCAAACATTGCGAAAGGCGTCAAGAAACAAACACCAAACACACCTTGCTCTTGTTGTGCCAGATTGCTTTGTTCGCCAAGTATCCCCATCCCGATCTGTCCGAGCCGACATAGTTGTTGAGTGGCGACGCCGACGAAACCACTCCGACGAACACGTTCTTCGAGACGCACCTGAAATGAACACGGCGACGATTTGGTGACCCACTGGTTACGTTTCCGTACTTGATGTGCTGACCTCTGCTGGCCTCTTGTTGGAGGCCGACCACAGTCGTAAACGTCATAGGTGTGGTAAAACGTCTTCCGTGTGGTAAGAGCAACGAACTCGAAACAAATGTCGGAGTGTGGGGCGAAATACTTCGAATAAATCATTGACGATGAAAACCTGCCTGTCGATACGAACTTTCCAGCGGTGCGACCCGCACGTGAATCCCCGAGTTGCTCGAACCGCGCTCCATTTCTTATGGCCCGTGTTAGTCACAGTAAGGTTGGAGTTAGTCAACCGAAGATTCGGCCCGCAGCCATCCACATCGAGCATGAACGGGACCTCTGGCAGGGTTGCTACGTTCACGGCAGCCACGATGACCCCATTCGCTCTTCCCAGCACAAACTCCTCCGATGTGCTACAAAACCTGCCCCGATCACCCGCTGATGGCCACTTGAACTCATCTCCGTCCACACCATGCTTGTTCACGTATCTGCCCCCGGCAGACGGGCTGCGATTTATCCCTGCCACTGCCCGCGTAGAGGACGTGCAACAACGACTTTCGTCGGTGAATACGGTAGTGCATCCCTCGGAGCACGTCGAAGTTCCACCCCCGCCTCCACCATGGCTGCCATCTATGCCCGTCAGAGCGCTTGCACCGTCCGCAACATCAGCTCCCAGTGGATCAGAACTCGATCCCCCGGTACCGGTAGAATTTGCACCGACGGTGGCTGCCGCTGGGAAGCATGAGCGCTCATCGTCGGATAAGTCTGCAGCCACCGATGGAGATGCCCTTGAGGGGCATGTCTTGCGGCGCTCTAGTCGGAAGGAGTAACGCGTGTCGGCCGCGAGGCCGTGAACTTTGAGGCACCCCCGACCGTCGAGGTCAAGGGCGGCCACATGAAATGGCTCCGAACCCCACAATCCGGAAGCACTCACCTGCCGATTGACGCAACGAACGGTGTACACTTGACAAGATTGTTACAGCGCCCAGAATAGGACAAGGGGGAGTCATGCGCTGGAAATAAACGAATCGCACCCATTACTCGTGAACGTACCAGGAGAACCATGCTTGGACCTTCATCTCTTCGTCGGTTAGTGGCGCGCTTGAGCTTAGAGCGAAGTGCTTGTGCCAGGTTGGAAGCCCTGGGCGCCTTACCAAACGCCACTGGAAGGGCCACTCCGTCGCCACCGACCCAAACCTGTAGCTCTGGCTCGCCACCGTTCTCAGACCAATCTCCCCAGCTCACCGTTACAGATGTTGCTGACACGGCCTCGACGAGAACCGAGTTTTGATGAGCAGGGGTGAGCCCCCCCGAAAAGGGCGGAGTGTGCAAGCCTGATGGCAAGGACGTCTCACTCTCCGCTGTCCCCACTCTCTTTCCTCTCCCTGCCGCCCGAGAGTTTGTGTCCAGAGCTATCTCAAAGCCATCACCCCCCCCTTCGGCCCCGGCAAACAACCCCGTGGCGATGTCCCAGGTGTCGGCGCCATTTTGACCGGTGTGAACCCAATCCCCAGGAGATGGCGGCTTATCGGCACCAACCTTCGTTATCCCCAGATCCCACCCTTCTTCTCGCGGCCGATTTTTACCGTTGACGATCGATCGACGAAGTTCCCACTGAGCAAGCAGCTCTAGCTGACTCTGAAGCAGAGACGACGACGGACCTGGCGCACTGATTTGGCTCCGAAGGCGTGCTGAGAACGCTCGAGCCAGCGCGAGCTCTTGCGGTGGTAGTGTATATCCGTCTCCCTCGGGCGAGTCCAAACACGTCTCCGTCGTTTCATGGGAGGCGTTGTAAGACCCCATGCTGCCGGGGAATATCCGCTTTGCCGGCCGAGAAAGGGTGAGCATGTTAGAGCAGAGCGTGTACGCCAGAGTTTGCAGAGACTCGTCCAGGTTGTTACTGTTGGCCGTGCGAAGGACAGCCCCGAAAGCCTGAGGTGACCGTGCCGAGGGCACCTCCGGCAGCAACAAGTTTCCGTCGTCGCTGGTGTTTCCGTTTTCCGCACTTGTCGTCCTGATAGGCTCACTCGAAGGGCCTCTTCCATCACGAGGTGCAGAAGAGGGACCGTCCATTGTGCTTTCCGCACTCTCCAACTTCAGCATCGTATCCAGAATCCATAATGCCCAAGAACAGTTGGAACGAAAAGCAAGCAGTTCACTTACGCTTGTGTTCCGAACCCGTTCCGCGTTTTGCTCTTCGGTGTTTAGTTTGTCGGCGCTCGTGGACCCGACGTTTTTGAGGACCGGGCCGGTTTCAAATGCCGAATTTGCTTCGTTAATGAAGAGTGTCAAAAGACGAATCAAGGAAGGCATTCTTGCGGCTCTGGCAACGTCGGAACTTCGTAAAATTGAAGGTGTTGGGTGATCCTTGGTCCACTTCTCCGACAACCGCTTTGCCGACGTCCAAGCTGTCCATTCATCCCGAGGTTTAACCGAAGCAACAAGAAGCTCGATCAGAGACCGCATCGACACGAAGTAGGACCTGGGGGGTGACGTGAAATCGTCAACGAAAGGGGCGGCTACTGCATCAACTCTTGTCTTGCTAGCTGTGTTGATGGACGCAACAGCACGTCTAATAGTTGTCGCCATTTACGAGATGTTTAAGCTTTATCTCTCTCAAGTGCGCCCCAGCAACGGCCATTGGGCAAACTTCTGGAGGCAAAGCAGTTGCACTAAAGCCATACGCCAACTCTTCATCAGCCCAAACTTACCCTGGAAGTTGCCCAATGTTTTCGGTAACATTTGCCAACTTGAAACAAACGCCAGGTGAACAGTCCTCTGTGGATCGGTTACGCCCAGTGACGCCGGTAGTGCCTTTTTCAGCTGCTGCTGATTTATCTATCGACAGTACATCCCCCGTTTGCTTCGATCGTGATGGTACATACCTGGGCGCAAGCACAGAAAAATCACCGTTAACCAGGCGATATCGCGTGTACCCAAGGTTGCCGGCACAGCAGGTCGGCGTTCTCGCACAGGATTGCGAGAATCAAAATATTTGTTTTTTGCGCAGGGGTTGGGGTTTTCGCGCAGGAGTGCGACATATCCGGGAAAATCCCAGTTCGGGGTTGAGGTTGCGTACTGCCACGAGTGTCGGGACACATCCTGAGCTGTGGTGGTTCTGTTGCAGCGCTTTAACTCCGTTATATTTTTGGGCGGATTTCCATCGCTTAATGTGTATGGCACGGTGCCGATGCACACGTAGCAATGAGGAATTAAAAAAACAAATTGCACAGCAACACGCGTATCCCACCCTACAACCTGACGATACAAAAGATAGGCAACGACAGTGGCATAACGTACGCGGCCGGAGATGAAACGGCAGAGGTAAACACTCCCGCCACGAAGGAGCTGAAACGCACACTATATAATCAAACGCCGGCAACTACACGTCGTTGAGCTTTCTTGCACACTGCCGCAAACAAATCGACTTTCAACCGCGCCTGTCGCCACTAGCTACACGTGGAGGCGTTCCAAGGAACAAAGCCGCTACGAACTAGAACTGGACAACAACAATACCCACCAATTTCTTCTGATCTACGAGTAACAGCCACTCACTATGATCTGATTCAGTATCACCCAGTCGGGAGTTGTCGCATAGGAAGGGTTGCGTAGAAAAGATCGTGACCCTGTGCAACCCAGTGCCATCCATCGCTTGCAAACTTGTGGTATTGGCCGAACGAAGCGGATGTATCGATGCACAGGAACAGAATTTGAAAACCTAAATACCATATCACCAAAATCCTGCGTACTCGCGTGCCATGTTGTAAGAGAACAACTCAAACAAACTCGGAAACTCACCACGTCGCAAACACTTTCGTGATATCCACAATGCTCCGCTGGCTTTCCTCAACTGCCAGCATCTGAAGTATTCCGTCCACTACCTCAAGTGCCCCCCCTGCGCCCCCCCCCCCGCCCCTCCAGGAGTCGCGAACAGGCGACGGGCTGGCCATCCCCTGTCGAATACTGACCAGGTCTCCAGGCCCGTTCGCCCAAAGCAACGATGGAAATCTGGCAGCTAGGACGTACGAGTGGCACCGGGGTATCCACGTGCCAGTTGCTGCCGTTATATGCGAAAACAAGTTGACAACTGCTGCACGAGCGAGGAGGATGGACAGGGCCGTTTCGAGAACACGGCTAAGGGATGGGAGATCACGTTCGTCCGTTATCATGGCCACTCGTTTTATTCCGTAAGATGTACTTCGAAGCCCGTCGACCATCACTTGACCGTCTTGCGCAAGAAATGGAGGCGCCGTTGGAGATGAGGTCGATTTGCTTCCAGTCCGCCCGGCTTCCGTCACCGTGCCCGGCGTGACACTTGCGCCTGGTCCATATGAACTAGGTTGAAAAATTGCAGTTGCTGGGGACGCACCGATATTGCGAGCAAGGAAGCCTCTCCTAACCGCACTGAGGTACGCCAAAACAACGGAAAGTGCGGGTGGTGAGGCAGAACACAGACAAACACAACGGCAGGCAAGAAGCGGGGTAGATCATACCACCAAGTGCAGGGACAAAGCATATTTCGAGCACGTTTTGTTCATTAACATTGTTTGTTCGAAGTGTAAAATGATGATGGTCAGGATTTTGACATCGGGCAGGCGATAGCCGTGCTTCAGCGACAGGAGCCATTACCTGTACATACCGTGCCACCGACGATCACTAGATTCTTCGTTGTTTCGAACTGCGTTTGCGTGCGCCTGCCGCTCTACTTCCGCGGCATCTGATGCAAACGCAAAGCCGCCGGCGTCTGCATCTCCATCGTCACTCTCCCCTGCGTCGTTGTATTCGTCACCAATGCCTGGTAGACAGCGAAGATGTTGGGCTGTGGTTAAGGCACGTACGAGCTGCACCAACCTATGCTTGCCGTCTTCATCGAAACGATGTATACCTCATACCGCTTGGATACAGTCCTAATAGTTGAATGCAGTCTTCGAAACTCTCACTCTTGACTGTTCCACGCAGCTCACTTGTGCTTAAGTTTCGACGTTGGACTAACAGCTGTAGCTTATACCGTAGTGCCAAATGCTTCCACCTGAGTTTCCGCAGTTGGAGTCTTCCTCGCAAGACTCCATGGTTCCCATCTCTTCCTCCATTTTGGTGTTTTCAATTTCAAGTCGATCGATGATCCATGCTGTAGCAGCGCTCTCACTCATGACTGGGCCTACGGCATGGCCCACAAGCAACGGGAGCACGGCAGAAGTTAAGTATTTTCTCCCGTTGTTAATGTGTGGGTGACTTCGCGATAGATCGTCACCAAGCCCAAGTCAAACGTCATGGACGGGAGCAGGTGGGTGACGCTTCCGTCTCATATGTACCATCACGTACCAGGTTTTCCCGCCGCTCTGATCGCCCACTCGAGTGGGAAACCCATCGCGACCAAATTTTCCACCAATGCCTGCCTCTCGATCTGTGGTTGGGAAACGTCCTCGCCCTCCCGTTCTTGCCCGTCTTCGCCACTGGTGGAAAAAGCCCGGCCATCGCTGGTTCCAACTGCTACAATTGAACCTCGAACTCTTTCCAAGGAGACCTCACAATGGTGCTCATCGCCGTCATCAGTGTTTTCGGCGTCTTCACCATCGATACCTCGTACCGGAAGCTGACAAGACCTCTCACTGTTGGCCGAGTTGGGGCGTGTTGCATCGTTGGCTGCCAAGGCTTCCGAGACTGGCTGGACCGATGAACCACCGTCGCGTATTGGAGGGAACAAGAATGGAGCGTGTCCGAAGTTGAAGTGGGCTCCCTGACCCACGTTCATTGAGGCTGCAGGGTACAGCCCGCCCATTTCAAACCCAGCGAACGCCACCCCAAGATCGCGTCCGTTCAAGCTGCGTACGCGCAAAGCAATTCGAACAGGCGAAATAATGCTTTGTGTTCTATATGCAATAACTCTGATATTGGGTGTGTGTGAAATGACATGAACAAGGCGAACATGACTCCGGCAAAGGGCTTGTGTAGGGCATAGCCAAAGCTGTGACATCTATTCCCTGCCAAACGTCATCTGCACTCCAGTCTGAGGCCACACGAAGCTTCGTATCTAGACCATTCTGTCTTGCATTTCTCTGCATTTATCCCCTACCTGAAACGCATTTCCTGAAGGCCGGTGTCCAAGAGCACACCAACCACATCACCCGCTCGCCATCGCTTGCCGTACGGGGCTGAGGACACACACCACCGCTTTTGGCGGAACCCATCAAATGCCCACGAATGCATGTGGTCTCCAACACCCTGGCCTCTGGCGGGACTGCACTGAAAGAGTGGTCCTGCCCACCCCAACTGCATGAGGCCTCCGGTCAGGAGGGTCACCTCGTAGTACCACCTCCCCCCAGTCGATCTCAAGCCCACCCCGACGTGAGATAGACGGATGGTGGGAAAATGAGAAGAAGCAGTTACACGGTTGCCCTCGATCACCTCGACCAGTGCGTCGCCGCCCATCACCTGCAAGGTCGGACGCGATAAACTGGGCCCAAAGTTGTTGGCCTTTCTTCCTTTCATGCCACGAGGGGATCGGTGCCGTGGCCGATGCCCTCGTTCGTCGTGTTTTCCCATGCAAATCCTGCTCCACACAATCTGACATGCTGATTCTAGCTCAGAGAGCAGGGAGTTGTCGCTTGCTATTCTTTGGTCGTGGAGAGATAGGAGGACGGCGGAGAAATCGCTTCGTCGCCCAAAAGCGACAGCGTCATCTGAACCCAATGCAAGAACAACGGCCGACGCCAGCGTTGATCCACCGAGAGCCATGAGCGGTCGTATAACTTTGGTCCGAAGAGCTGCACCGGCCTGATCAACGTGGCTGAGTTGTACCGCTAAAGCTCGGATGAGTCGGCACCGGAGGTGCGCCTTGACGACGTTGAGTCCGATCTCGTCGGATATATCCCCACGTGGTTCTTTTTCGTCATCGTTGGTGTAAGCAACCCTTGTCCTCGATATTATTGGCGAACCGAGAAAGGTGAGGACGGATGGTAGAGCCTTTTGAAAGAAGAACGGCGTCACTATCTCGGTTGCCTCAGCGTGGAAACAAATCTGCAGGGACCAAACGGCTACCGTCAGTCCGCTGTTGCTCCCAGCTTCAGGAGATGTCCCTCGCCAAGATGGGTTGCTACTGAAGACTTCATCAATACAATCTCTGTAACGGTCATCGACAGCCACGAACACCACGCCGTTCTGCAGCGTTGGTCGCTCGCTCTCGTTACCCTTCATCCACCCGACGACAGTGCCACAGCACGCGCTTTTCACCGCTTCCTCGCCTAGCAGTGGAGTTTCGGATGACATGCAGACGTCGCCAAGCATTTCATGCAGCAAACCTTCGACGTTTTCGCCCAAGTATGCCCCATCCGACCCTTGTTTTGGCAGGCAACCAGCCTGTGCGGTGCGTGGTAAAAGCACTACCCTGGCGCCGACATGAAGCCCTTCAATGTGACCACCTCCGAGGTAAGCCGCAGCTGCTGCAGCGCCAAGCCACGTTGACGAGCGATCGTCCCTGTTCGCATCAACCTGTAGTCCTCTCGCAGCCGACTTCGGCAGACCAGAAAACTCCCCCTTGGCAAAGGTGGTAAGCCCGTCCGTTAATGCGGCAAAGACATGCTCTCGCCACCGGTCTGGCACTTCCTTCACGAGTGACCTAAGCAGTAGTATGATTTCTGATACCATGGATGAGTCTTGCCGTAGTTCTCTGTTTGGAGCGTCTCTGCCAGCGACCAGAACGTGATCGCTCCGATGGCAGCGGATTAAGGGCATCAGCATCCCGTCAAGCGACCCGCATAGACGGTTAACAATGGCACGGTCACTGAAGTCATTCGCGCAGGAGCGAGAAGGGGGGGGGCTGCCTGGCAGAGCCTTTGGTGTCACTCTCTCGCCGTCCGCACGCTCACCAAATGCTTGACTCGGAATACACAACAGCGGGCGGAGCAAGCGCACAATTGCCCTTCTGACGTGATGTCCAGCGACTGACTCGAGATCGAACCAAAGGAAAAGCCATCGCGGTGTTGATAGCATGGCAGCGACGCGCGGGGAGCAGGTGGTCAGTTCTTTGGCAAGGGCAGCAAGACGGGCGACATAGCTTTCGGCTGCACGCTGGGAGTTCTCTCGCTGTGCTGGCACGCCGATGTCTGCCATTTGTCGAGCTCGCTCCGGGGAAACCTCTCGCGGGTGCCAATGAAGATCAAACACGGCGGATGCGTTTTTCCCCTGGTCACGTTCAGAACGTCGATTGTTTTTCGTTGGCAAACACTGATGTCGGTCTCCAAGTGCACCTTCACCGTGTTTCGACGATTGGTCCGACGGAGGTCTTGATTTTGTCGTGCAGCTAGCCTGGCTTGAACAAATCACTCGAGTCGCAACCACCCTTCCGTTGAAAGTGATCCTAACATTTGCAGAGGAAAGTGTACCACCGCTGGAAGTACTAGCACCACTGAGTGAAGAACCGGCGGCGCCACACCCTCTGGTATTCGAGTATGCACTACAAGTGACATGCGTCCATTGTCCTGGAGGAAGAGGACACTCGGAGAACAAGCTCTCTTTTTCGAACTCCTCCCCCATCGAGCTTTCACCGCCTTCAGCACTCTTGTGTTCCTCATCTTGTCCGTCTGCAGTTGAATATCCAGGCGTTGGAGCAAGGGCGCAAGTACGGCCTCGCCCGTCCAAGCCCTCGCCCTGAGTCGAGTTCCCTCTGTCCAAGTGTTTTTGGTGGTCCCTCCTCTCCGCGGCCATCTCAATGTACACCCTCGGCACATCGTCATCGGGCGAACCCGTTTTGTCGTATGGCAAGGGACGACTCAAAAAGATCCCTAGGGAGCTTCCAGGTATTCCGATGCAGGTCTTGGCTTGCGAGGACGCCTTGCGGAGGTGGGTGACAAGCGTCCTCTTCGAGCCGCAGTCCAGTGCATCGCTTCGTGTGCTCGAACAACGTTCTCCTCGAGACTTGTCGAAATCTTTGCCCGGATGCTGAATAGTGGTGCAACTCGGCCCCCAAACCCAGAAGCTCAACCCACACCCATCATTCCCATCTTCTTCCCGCAGATCAGTGCATAATCCTGTCACGGAAAGTGGAACTGACACCGGGCCAGAGACGAGCCGCACAGCTCCGGTGGCCGCAAGCGCCTCTTCTTCATCCCGCCTTTTCTGTTGCAGTTTCTCCAAACATCCTCGAGCGCGCGTCAATTCGTCATGTACAAGCACCAGTGTCGCCTGAATAGCCGTCCATGTCCCGCCACGCTCTTTCGGGCTTGACGCGGGGCGCGAGTGGTGTAGAGATGAAGCACCGCCGTGCTTGTGCGTCGCCCACGAGAACGACGACGAGCATATTCGCATGGTGACAACGCTCAAAGCTCGCCACGCTGCATGATGAACTGTTCTCTTGATGCTATCTGCGTTGCTCGTGTGATCTGCGAGAGCGTCCCCTTGGCCGCTCAGAATGGATCCCAAAACCAAAATGGCCGCAACAACCGCCGAAATTGATCCCTGATCTGGATCGAGAGAGGGCTTCAACTCGCTTGCGTCGACGGAGGCTACTGAAGGACACGAGGAAGGTCGGACTGACCGCCCTTGTTTGTCACTTCTCGCCGATTTAGCGGGTACCCCCGCAGCAGGACGAGAGGGAGCCGATCCTGGCTCTCCGTTCGCTAAGCGGTTGCCAAGCTGTTGCGCGAAGGGGCTCGTCGGAATAGAATAGTGTAGCAGACGTGGAGTCATCATCATGGCTAGGGTCCGTAGAAGGGAGAGAAATACAAGCAAAGATGTGGAGCTTCTCGTTTTGCCCCCGTCTTTTGACTGAGTCCCAGAATGCTCTTGCCTGACCTCGTAGACCACATGACGGAACAAATCAAAGAACGCTGACCGTTCTCTGACAATGGCAACATTCCCTCCTGCCCCGGTGCCGTCGAAAAAGGAAGGCTTGTCAACTCCGCCGCCAACGATGCCCAGCGAACGTGCAAGCCTAGCTTTAATTTGCCGCCGAGCTGACGGGATGCGAACTTGGTTGACAATATAATGAACAAGCCGCAGGCCTGAAGCACGCACCTGCCGGTGCAAATCGGCAACAGCCATCGAAGAGTATCCCACAGGCAGGCCATCAGCTCTACGAAAGCGTCAACAACACCACATGGAGGTACGTTTCGATTGTGAACTTATGGCGGTGGGTACTCGGGGGTTGGGGGAACCGGTGTGCGACATCTTACCTTTGCCCTCAGTTCGTGCGAACGCATCCTAGCCTCGATTGCCCAAAGAGGTATCGGGTTTGTCGCGAAAACAACCAATGATTCTAGGCTGGTGCTTCCTGGCGGCTGTGTTGACTTCTGCTCCACCATTGCGGCTGATAGGGCTTCTTTCACGCGCCCTTGACTCATGTGCTGCACAATGAGCACAAGATCAGCCGCCGAGCCTTCATCAGGCGGATGATGGAGCCCTCTGGGACTGGCGCTTGAGTTTCTCAAGGCATCGGCGGCCCACCTACGCAAAGGGTAGCATCATACATACGTGTAACCATATGCATGTGATTGCCCTACGATAAACGCCCGGGACTTCATAGTGCCAGCAGTCAGTGAAGCGTCCATGGCATGCGCGGTGGACGACAGGCAGAGCCTCTTGCCTTGCATCCTAAGTCGTCTTTCCCAAAACAGGTCGTGGAGTTCGACGATACGAGAAAAAAACTTCTTCGCATGCTGTAGAGTATGACAGTATAGACTATGCAGTATTGCCCTCTTGGTTACACTCGGGGGTTTAGTGGGTAAAATAGTAGACTATAGCTCAAGCCGTATACTGTATCAATTCAAAGCGAAAACAGCGTTTTCTACCACCGGGTTGCTGCACAGAGCGCAGGTGGCAAGATCTCACCTCCTCAATGCTTGGGACAACTCTCGGCGAGTTTGCCGGTCGCCGCTGGGTAATCGACTAGCAGAACGCTCTCGGCGGTAGATCGGTGCTTTACTCCGGAACGCTCTCCTGTGGTAGCACCAAACGTCGGTTGTTGAATACCTTGGTAGAAAAGCGAAAGGCGCGTCTCCAAATTCCAAATTCACACCGCAATGGGATCGCACAAAAGGAGATACCGTTTATGCGATAAAGTTACACCATTAGACAAGTCAGCGCTGACTTGTTTACTGGTGTAACTTTATCGAATAGGCATGACGTAAGTGGGTGTGGTGTCAAGTGTTTGGTCGAAAAAAAGGCCAATGTTTTGTCCGCGACATGTGAAAACTCTTCACTTCGCCCACTACCGAACAATACTGGCGACGAGACTTCGCATAGCTGTGGCGCACTAACCAGCGGGTACACCTTGCTGGTAAGACTCACCGCGCAAGGTCGATCGAAGGTAGGCGGGTGGAGTGCTTGAGAAGAAGGCGGCAGTTGCGGACAATGTTTGTAAGCGTTTCGGCCGTCGGTTGTAGACCGGTAGCAGCCGCTTTTTCTCGGGTTTCAGCACTACCTTCGTCGTTCCGTCCAGCACCGCCTTCCTCATTCTGGTGGTCGTGTTTGTCAGAGGAAAACTTTAAATCGGGGTGCTTGTCCCCCTCGAGCGAATCGGCAAGTCCCGCCAGCACATCGCGCACTTCGGCAGCCGCCGCAGCTATCAGCTTCAGTGCCCGAGGAGGAGAACTCGCACGATCAAGCCTACACCTGCACGGGACAAAGCGGGTGAGGGAGTGAGCTGTTGTATCCAAAATACCAACAACCCTCTCATGACCAGCTTGGACGGCTCTGTAGAACCGGGATCATGTCGGCTCGGCCAAAAAAAATCAGGTATGCGCTATAGTCTTTTGTCTGGAACGAGGACATTCAACCTTGTGCCGGTGTGCCGTAGCTGTCACCTCTATTCTCTCACCTGGCAAACGTAGCAGCTTCGGTCACTACCCCGTTGCTCTTGATGATCACTGCTACGAGAGCCCGAGTAGCCGCGTCCACGTCAGACGGGAGAGCACTAGATCGCCGCCGCCGGTGGCTGCCTTCACTGTCCTGTTGATCAGGTACGGGGTGAGAATTGAGCGACTGGTAGCTGCCCCAGCCTTGCCCTTGTGTGGCCAATGACGTTGCGTGTAAGACAGGCAGCTGGGGGTCCGGTGGGACTGTCATCCACTGGTACAGGGACAATGCCGCGCCCTGCCCACAGAGCAGGTCATTCAGGAAACCCTGGAGGGGGGTGGAAGTGGGGGGGCAACCAAAGAAAGTCTACAGGTCAGAGGAGCTCGGTTCAACGTCTTCGAAGTACACACGTGTGCTGTGGCCAAATAGTTCTTACTTGAGCAAACTGGGGCGGACAACAGCTTTTGCTTTGACACAACCGCGAAAGCGGCTCGCGGAACGTTCAGTGAACGGAGAAACAAGCCTCATATCACCAGCATCCTCATGCGTTCCGCGCCAAGGCAATCACTTCACCTCTGCGCGAGCATCGTCTACGATACTATCTAGTTGTCGCCCAGGAGCTCCGCCGCTTCTTCCGCCATTCTCTTCTGCCTCTACCCCCGCCCCGCCCCCCGTAGACCCTCGGCCGCCCCCTGTAGATCCTCGGTTTGCATGACCAGGCAAACCGTGCGGAGATACACGGGCGTCGATGGGGTTCAGAGCGGCGTTGTCGTTACTAGCCCGGCGGCGCCCTCGAGCTAAACTGTTCTGAGGATGGAGTTTGCTCGGTGTCGGGTTGGGCTTGGTCGGCTTGAGCGTTGAGCACCCGCACGATTCTTTTGTGAACCCTTCTTGCAGTTTGATCACCTGGTGGAATGGCGCATCCCAAGTATGGAGGAACGGTTGCGTGTCAATTGTTCGTGAAATTGGTCGCAACGATTTATTGCACACCTTCGTTCTACCCGAAGTCTGTCGCAAAATATCACCTGAAGAGCTTGAGAGAAGACGGGGCTATCCAGCTGCGAGGGACCACCCTTGGTGTGTTGATCCGAACAGCCAAACGTCTCGCGTTCAAAGGCCAGAAATGGCGACGATGCTAGCAACATCTCCACGAGCTCCTCGCTGTCCTCTTCGCCCCAGTCAGGCTCCCGGTCACAGCCAGTTTCGTGGGAACGACGTAATATAGGCTGTTGCGTTTTGATTGGGTTCATGTCTATCAAGCTACACACGAGGTCCGACGAAAGCTGGGCGAGGGCCTCCTCGAGTTGAGTCGACCAGTCCGATGGTGAAGGTTCGTCCCCGACTGGTGCAGCGGTCCCCTCCGTGGAAATACGGAGGCGGTTAAAACGGTCCACGGCACCCATTAACGGCAGAACCAACGGCAACAGCGCAGCTGCCCGGGCCAGGCAGTCTTCTCTTTCCGTCGGGAGGGAGGTTATGGAGATGCAGAGCGCAGGGACGAGTGCCACAAAGGAATTTGTCAGGACGTCGTCAGATCGACAACCATGAGCACCGCGGGTCGTTCGGTCCCACTCCGTGAGCAATCTCGAAAAAATATGCTGACTCTCTTCGAGTAGACGTGATGCGTGGTTAAGGGATAATCCGCGAGCAGCGGCTCTTCTCTCGACACCAACGCCCGCGTCACCCCAGTAGGCTATCACATGTTCCTGAAGCACTAGGAGCAGGCGCGAGTATTGACACCTAACCTCTGAGCTTCCGAAACGACGTTTGTTGTCCGTCCGACTTTGATGGTGTGGTCGTTCGAGGTATTCGAAGACGGCCTTTTCTGAGACGACGCTTCCCCCCCACAATCTCTTCTGAAGGTCGTCGGCGCAGAAAGAAAGCACCGATCGCATCACAGCGTCGAGCTTTGTGGCATCGAAGTTCTCAGCAGCTTCCCCGATTGCCGTCCCGTTGTCCTCCTGCTCGTTGCCTTCCGACCGCTGGTGGTTGAAGGTCCCGGATACGATGGCAGATGCGTAGTTATCCCGAGCAAGACCTTCAACCGCGAGCCGTATCAACAAGGTGTTCGATCTAGGGACCCGGCACACCCGCTGCTGCAACCTCGCAGGAGATTGCCTATCTTTTCCTTTGTCGTCGAGAGGCCGTTGGGTTTGCTCGAGGGAGACAGGGCCCGCCGTCTTGAGTGCTATCACAACGTCTTGCAGCAATTGCACTCGTGCAAGGTTGGACCGGAAAAAAACGCTGAAGCCAATCCGGAACGCTTCCGCGGCCTCGACCTACCAAATGTGGCGTATCGTGGCATGTTACGTCCTTCATTAGTACTTCAGTCGCGGAAAGTCTCAGTTGATGGCCTGTATTCTCTCGTCATTTTCATGGTTCATTCGCGCGTGTGACTTGGGTTGTCTCTTAAAGACCCAAAAAGTCCAACAAGCGTTGCCAGCTATGCCCTGAACATGGATGTAACTTTGGTAGGATGCCATACGCTTTCTATTCCGGGACATTCAGCATTCCGTTTTCATTCCAAAAAGGGGAGCACAAAAAAGGAGAAAATGCGAACATGAAACCCGGCTCACTTGAACAGCCTGAGCCTTGGCGGTCGTCTCTGGGTCTTGGTGGGTGACTCCGTCTTCCAAGAGAGTCTGTAGCTCGGCACGAAGCTCTCCAATCACACCATATAGGTCTTCGACACTTTCTCTGCTACCTCGACACCCTTTCTGGCCTAGCGTAGTACCTCCGTCGCCGACACAGCTCGTCTCTTTCGACCCAAAGCCGTCTTCATCTTGAGTCCCCCAGTCGTTGTGTTTCGTCTGAAAATCGTTGTCCTTGACGTTGACCCCGTTGTCCCCGGTTTGAGCTTTGCGTGATGGATTAAATAATCTATTTCCTCGGCAAGCGCGTCGCATGACGGCGACACGGACGAATTGGAACAAGTTGACCTTGAGCAAGCTCAGGGTTCCGCGCAATACCTCCATTTGAACCGATCGGGATGCCGTGACACACTCGGTTGTTTCTGGCGTCAGATCCTCTCCCTGCATTCTTGCTTGTTTGTCAAAGGGTTCAGCCGTTGGCACACTCCCGGTGATCAGCTTTCCACATCCCTCGGGGCCAATGTTGTCAGGGTCACTTCGGGGGTTTCCTGTGCTTTTCCCCATGGGAACTCCAACAGAATCAACCGTATCAGCCGCAGCGGGTTCACGAGCTGGAGAAGTAGGCATCGGACTCTTCCTCTCGCGGACGACTCTGATGAGGTCAAGGAACGAGCGAAAAGCCTGCCACGAGGTATCGACGCAGAAGGGAGCAATTGGCGACCGCGTCCCAGACACGATGGCTTCTTGGCTCTCGTGCAGATTTCCTACCGAGCACATCGGGGCGTGCTTTGAAGAATCGTGCTCGTCATTCGGAACGTCATCTTCTCGTGTCGTATGCAATTGCTGCCGATTCGCGCTTGACGTCGTTGTTACCTCTTGATCGTGCTTTGAGCTCACCAAGGCCGCCGTTCTTGCTTCACGCACCCTCTTTCGAATCCGCTTGCCGACTCTCACTGCCTGTCGCAAGCTGCGATCGACTTCGACAGTGGTGTCCTTCGGAATGTGAGGTATGGCCAACCGCTCGAAATGACGCAGGAGCGCCACTATCATCTCAATCCGACCCACCTTGAACGTTGGAATTGGAGGCGGAACTAAGACGTGGTCAGGAATATACGAAATACTGTGGACAAAAGGGAATTGAACGCATCACCGAAACAACAAGTTATTCGGCCTACCCCGCGACACGCCTTCCATACTGACCGGTTGGGAAGGATCATCCGGAACATCTAGCCCTGTGCCCTCCAACAACTCGCTTGTAGAGGGTCCTCTTCGTTCAGCCTCATTGTAAGGGCTGGGGGACGATGAATCATAGCCTGTGACAGGCCTCAGCTCAGCAAGCACCACACCAAAGTCCCCTCCCTCGCTTAGGCGCACAGCTCGGGGCTCCTGCACCATTTTTCCAGGTCATTCGCAGAGCAGTTTTACGGTCAGTCATGGTCCAGGGAAACCGCACAATTTAGCTAGCTCTAGCGTTCTAGCGCTGACCTTGCCGATCGCCATAATTTGTTTCTGACTCGTAACGTAGGGTACGCTCGGGTCGTAGACGGACAGACTGGTTATGCTGATGCTCACCTCCACCCCATCGCCGATAACTAGTCGGGGCACGAAAGCCCCGACTGCAGTCACTCCGTCCTCCTCGCTAAGGCTGTGGCCTCGACTGCTGCTACCTCCCTCGGTTGCACTCCTACGCGGTGGCCAAAACTTGCGTTCTAGCCCCCACTTGAACACGCGCCCGTCAACGGTAACCGCCGCACTATAGGTCCGTCCTCCCGTGGCGGAGCGAATCCGACCCCCGGAAGGTGTTGCGAAGAAGGCAACTCGTGTAGGGGTATGGCGAGGTTCTATGCGGCGGGATCGACATTCGCGGAAACAACCAGGCTAGCGATGAGTGCAGCGACCGAGGCAGGAAAAAAAGTTAAGTATTGTACGATGTGAAGGTAAATGAACCAGTTGTTCCGTGGGGAGGGTAAAAAGACACACCTTTGTACTTCTCTGACACGGCATCCTGCCCTGAATTGTCGCCCTGCGTTCCAAAGTCGGCTCCTTTGATTGGTCTTAGTTGCCCACCTGCGCCTTTTGAAAAGTACAACCCGAGCCTGCCAGCAGCGTCGTACCTGCGTCCTCGTGGCCTAGTTGTCCATAGCGCCCCGAGCCCCATGTGAACAATGTACCGTCGTCTGTGACCGCCATGCAATGATCCCATCCGGATGTGATAGCTTTCACAGTCGCAGAACCCACGGAATCAGTGCAAACCCTTGTAGGCGGAACGCCGCCGCGCTTGCCGAGCGTCCCATCCGCACCGGCAGCAGAAGCCGCTGCTGCGGAAATGCCAAGAACTGCCGTCGGTGTATCTCCGTCGCGTCCATGACTATAGCTACCCCCGAAGCTGAAGAGTTCACCGCGGCGAGTGAGTGCTAACGAATGCCCCCAGCCCCCTGCCATCGTGGACACTGGAAAGTTCTTGAGGCCGTCTATCGACCTGGGGCAGATCTTCGGCGACGTGAAGCAATTCCGACCGAGATGCGTTAAAGATGATCAAAGGCGAGCGCATGACGAGGACGCAGAGGGATTTTTACTCCTTAACCTATTGGTCCATTTTGGCTGCAATCAACGAAACAACAACAAATTGTGTTGAAACTATCGTTCAATGATATCGAACATCTCGCAGGATCTAGGCCGTTCAATGTGCATGTTCCGCCTGTATTGGTCAACCGCGACTTGCCAGTGACACAGCACGATCATGCCAGGCGCTCACCGCGTCCGAGCAAACAGGATCTGTGTCACCGCACTGGCCACAGTCGTTCTTTCCCCAAGCGTAGGACGTTCCGGTAGAGCACACAGCCAAGGAGTGCGACACTCCGCAGAACACTGCCTCGATCTCGATTCCCTGGAGCGCTTCAATATGGCAGGCGGAAGACCGATCCCGGGTGTCTCCGAGGCCGAGTCTTCCGTTGTACCCATTTCCCCACGAAAACACCTTTGTATTCGTCGTAGTGGGTTATCGTTAAAAGGTTTTGCCCGCGACTTGACATCACAAAACCCTACAAGCCGGACCTTGATGGGTCCACTTTGCTCTTGACTCGTGTATCTCGTCGGTCAGGCTTGTCGTTGTCATGTTGCCGCGTTGGGATTTATCCACCTCAATGTTGCATGACACTCGACAGCTACGTATTTGTTGTGTTCGACAAAGTGGCACAGTCATTATCCCGGGTCTCTCACCTGGCCAGTCTCAAGTAAGGCAAGAGTGTGCTCCTGCCCGCAAGCAACATCTGTCACATTTGGTTTGTGGGCCAGAACTTGCCATACGGTGGGCATGACGGCAGAACCGGTATTAGGGCAGCCGGCCCAACCATTTTGAGCGGCATCGGATGAGCCATACGTGCAATCTCCAGCACTGAAATCAGAAGCCGCATCGCCCCGAGCCGCTGACCTCGAGCCGTGGACATTTCGGAATCGATCCATCTCAATAAAAGGTTGTCTCGTGGTTGCCGCAATCGTTCTCCGGTCTTGCCGCCCCCCAGAAGCCATGGAGCTCCATGTAAGAAGCTCCCCCTCAGTGGTGAGTGCTACGTGACAGTAGTCTGTAGCGTCCACCTATACGGTGGGAGGAACACCGGTGACGTAGCGTATTGAAAGGTGGAAAAGTGTGCGGGAGAGCATCGTTTGGTTACGAAAGCTGCCCATTCCATTTCTTGTGCTGAACTCATAGTGTCAACACGCTATTAACACTTGGTTCCAGTACACTGCAAGGCTGCAAAGCTGGTCATTGCCAAACTCTAGATTGTCCAACAGAACTTGTACGGAGACTTAAAAGTCAAGCAGGCATATGGCGAGGAACTCTAAGGAAGCCTGTGACCTGAGGGCAAACTCAAGCATTATATAGCGCTTGTAGTGGTGTTGGCTCGCCTTCATCAAGTCTACTTCCTCCAAAGCTGATGGTATCGGCGATCCCCGTGAAAAGCAGTGACCAGGGCACCTTTTGTCCGCTGGTGACTCCGTTTCCTGCACCACAAGGTTAACACAGAAGTACCCCGTAAAAAATTCAAACGGTGGTTTAGGTGCCCGCATGTTGGACACGTGTCATTCCACTGACATGACGTACGCGCTACATGTGATTGCCGTGTGTCAGCAGTCTGTACAAATATCTGGGCGACGTGTATGGCAGCCACAAAAGTGTGTTACAGACGAAGCCAACAAGGCTCAAATTTTCACAGGGAGCACGTGCAACAATTTTGACCACAGATGAAGGTTTCCCTGAGCGTTCTCTTCGGTAAGATTCCGGGCGTTAACTACATCAGTGGAAACCGTCCGATCGTGCCAACTGCCCACCCTGACGCACAAGTACATTGATGTTTCCAAATTGCGTCAAAAAGGTGCTGACAGCATAGCATCTCTGGCTATCATGTCATATTACCTGGTCCAGAAGAAAAAGGTTTCCGGCTTCACAAATGTGATTGTCTGAAAATACCAGCTCGCCGGGCACTTCAGAGTCAGAGCCATCCAGCATGGAAGGCTGCATCTTCTCTAGTTCCTGAGGTTGCACATCCGACATACGTATCGATCATAGAACCAAAGGAAGCAACAAAATTCCCAACCCACCCGCTTGTCGTTTTCTTTCCTTGTTATCGTTGTTGTTGTTGATGCTGTTTTGTCAAACTGTTTGCAGCATTTTCCCTCATCCAACATCTCCCCTTCCGTTCGCTTAAACGCAACACGAATCAATTTGGCAACGAGACAGTCAACAAAATTAATGCAAAAATAAAAACGTGCAGAGAGAAAGCCTTACCACTTCAGAAAATATGTAAATTCAGAGAAAGAGCACAGCGTTAGAATTTGGAATTGGCAACGCAGCTTGTCGCGGGCAACCGTGCTGGTCCTCCATGAGATCCTCGGTACCTTTTTGAAGGCGGTGTAGAAAGCACAGACGAGATGAAGATTCGCAAACAACCAATCAGTACCTGTGTGCAAGAGAGTACGCGTGCATTCATTCTTGATGTATCCTTACGACGATGGTTTTGCCAAGAAGAAAGCGGTATGCAAGGGCGGACAACCATCGGCTAACACTCAATCTAATGTTGCATCCTACAGCGCTCGATGCCACACGCATCATCTGCGGGTGCACGGATCAGCGGCACATGATGATGATGATGATGATGTGTGTCGAGAGGAAAACTAATGTTTCCTTCCAAACGCGGCTGAATAATCTATCGCTGGGCACGTGGCAGAGGTGTGGCCCGAACCTCTCGTTGGCACGCTTGCCCTGTTGGCCTCGAATAGGAAATTTTGTATCTAAATTGGACGGCGGGGCTTCAATTTGATGGCAAGTAGGCAACAATACGCTCAAATATGTCGACTTCGGAGGTAACTACCATGGATTGATGTGTTCCGACGCGAACGAAGTCAACAACAACCATGCGCTCGCGCGTAAAAATAATACTCGAAATAGCAACTGTCCATTGGCGGGGGAACATCCTCCGCGGGGAGGGTGGCAGCGGTGTGCCTCGAACCTCTCGTTGGCAGGTTAAGCAGAGAGACGCACAGTCATTCCAGCGTCAAACGGGCTGGACGTTCTGTTTTAGATTGGACGGGTCTTCAATTTGATGGCCGGCAGGCAACACTAGCCCCAAAATTGATCGAGATCGGAGCAATTTGGCCGGGAGTGCTCGGGTTTCGTGCTTAAGAAGACCGATCACCGACACAGCCAAACGTTAACGCCGGAGGTACCAATCAAGCTGAAACTTGCTGAAGGCGTCTGCAGTAGTGTAGGACGGCTGATGGGGTGATTTCTCGCGCCTTGGGGTTTGGGTCTGAAAGGTGCGTGGTTCGGGTTTCCCGACTGAAAGTGAACAGACAATCAGACAATCATTAATCTTTTTCCCATTCTGTGAGAACTCTAGACCGTAACAGTCTCTTTAGAGGAAAAAAATATCCGCTCAGGACTATTCAACGAAACGCTGAGGATCGTATACACGCCAGTACCTTGAGGTGATGTCCCACGGCTAAAATTGGCATCCCCTTATCCGTAGCTGTCGAAGAAAAGAGAAGTCTGACGACCCGAAGGCAGTGAGCAAGGGAACCTTGCTTGACCGCAAGGCCTATCGCTGCTGCAAGAACATCTCCTTGCTGTGTGCTCGACAGCTCCTCGCGGAGCAACCCCTCTGCAGAGGACATCATTGCGTCAACGACTTCTCCAGGGCTAGCCCCGGTGGTCAGTCCGGCGAGTACTGTGGCTGTAGGTTCTATCGGCGGCTGCGGCCCAGAGCACTTCCCAGTAGGTAAGAGCGGCGATAAGGATAGCACCGGCGTGTCGTTGATCATTGAGGGCACCTGTTTCATCAACTTCAGAATACCTTGCGTGTTTCCCTGCCGTTTTAAAGATTGCAACAGGCGGAAAAATAACTCTTTGCCGATGCGAGCGCTAAGGTTAAGGCCGTCAAGTCTGCATGTAGGGGGCGTGCTCGGCTCGGGTGACCGGCCAGTGGCGGTCCACATGAGATCAATGGGCAAAAGATCACACGGCACCAATCGGTCCGACCTCCTCCTCACGCCCGAAGGCCAGACGGTTGAAAATTCCTGCAATCGCGTGTCATCCATGGATCCTATGCCCTGAAGCCGATCATCGTTCCAGCACCCTCCCAAACACGCCAAGCCCGGTAGAGCAAGTCTTCCGCAGTGAATGCATGCGATACTTGAACGGCAAGACTCCTTTCGGCGCGTTGTCGGCAGGATATCCGACGAGCAAGGTGCGAAGTTGGTCTCAAAGGGCATATTGCCCAGATGTAGGAAGGCCGACTGTAGAACAGAAAAACGTCCCTGTTGATTGCAGCACTAAGGATCACGTATACCGGAGTAGAGTTGTTCCATCGTGTGCACTGATGTTCGCAGTCCAAGCAAACAAGCAGACTAGCAGACTTGACGCGGGCAAGACGCGGTGGAAACGGCGGAACCATTTTGGTTCCGCCGCGTCACAAAAAGATGCTGTCTAGGAAATCGTAGACATACAGATAGATTTCTCTGATGCTACAGTATGATTCCATTGTTAATCTGTCTCAGACTCTTTCCTATGATGAAGATGGACTCGTTGTGTATATACTCCAGTATACATACTTCCACTTTTTTTTTTTTTTGGAAACGGTGAGACCACTCCCGTGTGCCCGCACATCAGCCGCATATACTCCGCACATATGCATACTAATGTGAAGACAACAACAACAACAACAATACCAAACTGAAAATACGTTTGTAAACTGATGGAGATTGCATGTCCTACGACTAAAAGGGTGCGACACACAAAACGCCCGACTAGCCANACTCCCGTGTGCCCGCACATCAGCCGCATATACTCCGCACATATGCATACTAATGTGAAGACAACAACAACAACAACAATACCAAACTGAAAATACGTTTGTAAACTGATGGAGATTGCATGTCCTACGACTAAAAGGGTGCGACACACAAAACGCCCGACTAGCCAAGTACCCAAAACCTTCGTCTGCACCTTCCCAACATAACATATATGAGACACACAAGACAGCTACCAAACTGATTTGTTGAGCCTGTTATCCGCAGGGGAGATGTCCTTGTATGCTGTCTGGGAAATCGTAGACATACAGGTAGTTTTTTCTGACGCTATGATTCCATTGTTAATCTGTCTCTGACTCTTATCAATGATAGAGATGGACTCGTTGTGTCGAAAAAAAAAGTCGCTTGCTTGTAGCAGTTACAATATACGTCATGGTGCAAGCGTCATGTAGACAAACCCGACGCGCCGCGATCTCCAGTGGTATCGAATATACAACAATAGTCCAGACAACGCACTTCGACAACAAGGGACTCTCATCGAACGAACAAGGATGATGTATTTCTAGGTTTCTAGGGTGGATCTGGAGGCGGGGTAACTGGTGCCGTTTCGCTATCTGTGGTTCCTGAAACATAACGTAATGACCGGGAAGCGTCGAAATGTACGTGCCAGGTACCACAGCAGTAGTGCCGTAGACTGTAGACCGTGTTGGGTGGCCATGCAGCCAAAGGCGTGTGGTACGCTATTGGAGAGAAATGCTCGGACAGTTCCACTGGATGTTATGCTACGACGAAGGTCATGCAGCTGTACTGCTGTAGAGAGAATTTGTGACAAGTTGTAGGCGCTAGAGGACAAACCGAGTCTACCTTTGCTACGTAATAGCACAGGTACCTACAGCTACGATAGCACACGTACCTATAGCAACGAGTTATCAAGTTGCCACGTTGGAGGAACTTCACGTTTACAAAACTGTAGTTGCTACCAGATACCAATAAAAAACGACACATATTTGGTGAAGTTTTCGCACCAGATTCAATCGAAGTTGTTAAAAAGGTCCCTTGTGGCTAACTTGCACTACGCCACATCACCGCTTACACCATGCTATTGCCCTTGCAGCAAGTCTTAGAAATGTTTCATTACCGACGCATAGGCATGGCACACTCATGGTCTGCTAGATGCACTGTGTTAAGATGTACAGCATATCCACTATGCTACAAGTCAGCGCTGACTTGTAGCATAGACTAGTGGATATGCTGTACACATCTTAACAAAAGTACAACCGGGGTTCCGGCCACATAGCGAAGAGTGTGTTTAGCTTCCACCATGTGGATCTTGCTGGGTTTCACCATTGGGCGGGCCAGTCGGCCCGTGGCGAATATGATGTCGTAGCGGAGCACTTGAGCGATGTACATCAGGCACCCCACGATGCCGTGATAACGTCGCGTTTCTTCCTCGCCTAAACGAACCTCTCTAAGATGGACTTGCTGGACGTTTCCTGGGAAATGGTCAGTGTACCTTGGTTGCGGTCCCTCTTAATTTCCATGCCCAAGGCAAGTTTCACCTCGCCCATGTCTGTAATCTTGAAGCTTTGTTTTAGTTTGTTCTTGATCACCAAGATGACGTTGGCGTTGTTTCCGGCAAGAAGAAGATCGTCCACGTAGAGCGTGAAGTAGACTTGAACATCGTCGTGGTCGTACAGGTAGACGCAAAGTGTCAGACTTGAGCAGAACGAAACTTATCTCAACGAGGAAAGGGTCGATGGTGTGGAACCAGTTGCTGGGGCTTTGGGCCAGCCCGTAGAGGCTCTTCTGTAGCTGCATCACTAGATCACCTCCATCCTTGTCCTTGACCTCGAAGCCAGGTGGCTGTTCGACGAACACGTTCTCCAGGATGTCAGCGTAGAGGGAGGCTGTGGACACGTCCATTTGATCCAACTCCAGGTTGAATTGCACGGCTATGCACGCTAACATCCGAATGCTCTGTAACCTGCACACCGGAGCGTAGGTGCTGCCGCAGTCCAGTTCAGGCACTTGGTTCCAGCCTTGCGCCACCTAAAACCCCCCTTGAAGGGGCCGTCTGCCTTACGCTTGAACATCCATTTGGACTTGATCCGCCTTCTCCCTGGGGGAACTGCTGTGCGCGGGACGAGCTTGTAAACTTGACGTTCCTTGAGATTCNGAATGCTCTGTAACCTGCACACCGGAGCGTAGGTGCTGCCGCAGTCCAGTTCAGGCACTTGGTTCCAGCCTTGCGCCACCTAAAACCCCCCTTGAAGGGGCCGTCTGCCTTACGCTTGAACATCCATTTGGACTTGATCCGCCTTCTCCCTGGGGGAACTGCTGTGCGCGGGACGAGCTTGTAAACTTGACGTTCCTTGAGATTCGCGATCTCGCGCTCTGCAGCTGTGTTCCACTGCGCTCCGTCCGGCATGGCCCTTGCCTCTTGGATCGTTCGTGGAAGATCCGGTTGGGATGCCTCCATAGCGTACGCGTATTCCGTAAAACCAAAGGAGCCGTCCCTTTGGGCGACGTCAGGGAACTCCCCTTTCGCGGTAAATGCGTAGGAGATACGACGGAGCTCGCGGATGGCCTTTGCGTTGGGCATGCGCGAACTCGACCTGGTGACAGCAGGTGCCGACGTAGACCCTCGTCCACCACGAGAACCTCGGCCACCACGAGACAAACCGTGCCCACGCGCAGATCCACCCCGCGGTACAGCACAAGACGGAGTAGGACCAGAAGGCGATGAACCTAGCGGCGTAGGACCAGGTGACGAACCAGGAGGAGACGCACCGTCATCCGTTTCAGGGGGTTTTACTCCCCCAGGTAAGGCAGGGCTGCCTCCCGTTGGTGTACCACCAGAAGTCCTAGGCGCGCCGTCGGTGGGAGGAGTTCCTGCAGGATTAACCTCAAGGTCACGGTTGGTTGTCTCACGGATTTGCTCGAGAAGCTCAATCAAGGGTATGTCCCCGACGTCATGATCAGGAAAGAGCGAATCAACTGAGTGGTTGGAAGTGTAGTTTCGCACGTCTCTTACCATGTCGTCGTGGTTGTCGTACGTGAACTCCCCGTCGTCGAAGCCACCCTCATCCAACGCAGGCGCAACGGGTGGTGTCTCAATGAATACAACGTTTCGACTCACCCGTACACGTCGCGTCTCAGGGTTGTAGATTCGGTACGACTTGCCGTCCGTGCTGTATCCGACATAGCGTCCTTCCCAAGCACGGTGCTCCAGCTTCCTGGTGTGGGTCTCTTCGTGCACGACCGTCGGAGCGAAAAGGAACAAGCGACAACTCTGCATGAGTCGCCATGAACTCACTGTAGATCCGTGAAGGCAGTCGGTGGTCCTGCGCACTCGACGTTGATGAGGCAGATGCAGGTGCCGCCTGTGTGGCGGCAGACGCCGCCGGAGGTGGCTGGGAAGAGGCAGACGACGAGGTTGCCTAGGAAGTTCCGAGGGCGTTGAAGGAGAACCCGAACGAAATCGGCTCGGACCGAGCCTGTTGCGCCACCGCCGGAGGCGATTGCGCCAGCTGACTGCAGGAGCGCCAGGTTCGCCGCCAGCCATTCAAGCTCCTTTGCTTGTTTTCCCGGATCTCCTCTTGCTTCTAGCACTCAGCATCGCTGTGTGTCTTGGTGTTGTGGTAGGAGCACCACTTTGGCTGTGCACTCCCACCAATTCCTCGCTTGTTGGCTCCCTTCTTCTTGCCTTGCCTAGGACGGCTCTTTTGGACCTGTTGGGGACAATCGCGCTGAAAGTGTCCGTACGCCTTGCGTCGGCGGCACTGGTCGGTGTCGGAAGCGACCGCCATCGCAGCCCCCCGGCCTGAGGCCACGGGGCCCGACGCGTTGCGCGACTGCTGATCCATAATAAAGCGGATAGCCGTCACCTGGAGACTGTCTACTGAAGTAAATTGTCGCGGTAGTGCATCTCCCTGATGAACTTGAACTCCGGGGCCTTGGTCAGGCCTGAGAGCATGATGTCCAGGTAGACTGTGTCCTACACTTCCTTCCCCAGCACCTTAAGGCGAAGCTTGAGATCCTACCCCGTTGTGAAGAAGTCGATGGGATCACCCCCCGCAAGGTGTCGCATGTTGAACAGCTCGTTGTGACACGCACGCCGAGCTTCCTGGGTGTGAGCATCGAAACGCTCGTTGAGAGCTCTCCAGGCCGCCGTCCCATCCCCCATGTCACTATCCGCCGCCCCTTCGTGAGTGCGAACAGTGAAGCTGCGCAGACCCGGAGGTCACGAAGAAGAGGAGGGAGGACAGGCGACCGTTGGCCTTGTCCCACGCGGACACATCCTCCGCGTTCGCCGCGGTCGCCTAGGGACGCGCGTTTCCATTGAGGACGGGGAGAAGCTCCGGCGCGTGGAGGATGATTGCTTGTCGAAGTTTGATCTTCCACTCGCGAAAATCTGAATGTCCCGCGTATTTCCCAACGGAGTCCAGCATGCGGTGGAGCCCGGAGCTCGATGATTCCGCCATCACTGAAACCAGGGTCACACGCCGAGCGTTTTACGGTTTTCAGCACGCGTAAGACGCCTCGATTACCTGCGAAGGTTCGACGCACCAGAACAAAACGGTGCTATGCTACATAGAGGTAGGCTTGGTGCAGGTCGCAGCTTTGTAGCGTACAACCCACGTCCAGCGGAAGCGATGTAGTGTCCGCTAGGACTACTGCGCTACTACGAGCACAGCAATGACCTACCGCGCACGTGGCTAGGCTGCGGTGTTACGGCGACGAAGTTGCCAACTCCGGCCTCGCCCTGCAGGCACGCGGGTCAGATGTACTGCTTAGACTTGCTACGCGTCTTTCAGCTCAGACTTGTGGCTGCTGCACGGATGCAAACAGGCCTGGTCAGATCCTCAACTTACACTCGCACCGGTATAGTCTACACACAGTACGCGTAAGATATCTTGGACAGACCTACCTCGCGTATAGCACAACGCGCAGGTAAATGTACGTGAGCGGATCACGTGGGTGTGGCTGTAGAAGCAGTCGGCTACTAGCTAGCAGCCGTATCCTCAGCCTGCACACGCTACCAACCTTGGCAACTCAGCACGTGGGAGATATCTTGGACAGACTTACCTAGCGTATAGCACAACGCGCAGGTAAATGTACGTGAGCGGATCACGTGGGTGTGGCTGTAGAAGCAGTCGGCTACTAGCTAGCAGCCGTATCCTCAGCCTGCACACGCTACCAACCTTGGCAACTCAGCACGTGGGAGATATCTTGGACAGACTATACGCCTCGCGAAGGACCACGCGCAGGCGATTTTGGTAGTCAGTAAAGAACACACAGAACACCAAGGACGGCACTCCGCACGCAGAACCAACTACCCGCACAACTCTATTCGCCGACCGAAATCAACGCCTAGAAATGATGCCCCCGAATGCTTTACACAGTATCGTACCGAAATGTGCAGCCAAGAACCCAGGTGATCAGTCCGGGCCCAATAAGCAAGCGGGTTGACTCAGTGTGACCTTCAGCAAAAAGCAGACTCCGACGGTAGCTCCCCGCGAAGAATACCCAAGCTGGAAGATGTGTGTGTGCTCCACAGTGCTCGACACCAGCAGAAGGTGCAGTCGCCGCAGGCCTCCAAACACATGGAGTCGAGGCTCATAACCTATTATGGATATTGTGTAATACCCTGGCACGGTGGTGTAGTCTAGAGGCTGTGTCGTCGACGTTAGTCGAGGTGATGACACGTGCGAGAGGGTAACCTGGAAGACGAGAGTCCTCCCACGGAGTAAAGGAGATGTTGAGATATTGCAAAACACGGGCGCTTAGTTGGTCAATACAATCCGGAAGGATCACACGAGAGAGTAAGCTATTCGGCTACCAAGCACCACGCAGAGAATCCTGCGAGAGTAATTCCTCCGCATACACATACGTACGTTACATTCGAACCGACATTCGAACCGACAAATACATATGAGATCTACTACGATATATGCTTGGGGTATTTGGATACAAGATCCGATCTGCAGAGAACATGTGTGCGGGGGGTATACTGTTGGGGGTCCAAGTGCGGGCCCCCTCGTGAGAGCCCGCGCTTGTGTTCACTGAAACAGGACCTGTACTGACTTCGGTCCGTGCTGGAAGAGTACGTGTGTGTTAATCAAGGATATATATCACCGGCATCGGTCCTCTGGGTTAACATAGTCCCCAGACAGACATCATACCGTGGGTGGGCGCGGCAACCTCCGTGGGTGGGCACGGGGGTACACAAACACGACNTGTGTTCACTGAAACAGGACCTGTACTGACTTCGGTCCGTGCTGGAAGAGTACGTGTGTGTTAATCAAGGATATATATCACCGGCATCGGTCCTCTGGGTTAACATAGTCCCCAGACAGACATCATACCGTGGGTGGGCGCGGCAACCTCCGTGGGTGGGCACGGGGGTACACAAACACGACTAATCGTATAAGTTCGACCGATGTCGGATTCTGAGGATGCTGCAGGAAAGGCAGCAGCTGCGGAGAGGGCAGCAGCCGCGGAGAAGGCGGTAGAGGAAATAAGTAAGACGCTTGCACTAGCGATGGATAAGATAGCTGAATTGGCGAGTGCTGGGAGATCAGCTGCGGTTCAAGCTGGGTGGGCAGCTGGAAGAGGTGTATACGCCGGGGGTGGTCCCGGCGGTGGGCTTGATGCCCAGTGGAAAAAGAAACGTAAACCGCCCGTCTACGATGGGCACTTCGCCGTATACGGGCAACTGTTCGAGAACTTCATGTCGAGCGAGGGTCTAGCACACACCCTACGGGAATCCACGTATGTATCCTGTTAAGCTGCTAAACGGTCCATCTAGGAGGGAGCTGGTTACTATGCATGGTGGTGACCTGGTGGACCAAAACGAGCGTGCTCTTGACATCCTGATGGAGTCAATGAAGGATGCTCCATTTCTGAGCAAGCTTCTGACGAGTGGACCGATGGGAGGCGCCTGGCAAGAGGCGATTCACTGTTGCCTACCGTCCGATGAAGCTGGGAAGGAGGCTCTCAGGAAAACGCTGACAGACTACAAGATGCGTGTTGGCCAGGACCCGCTTGCCTACTTCGTGGGTTTCAAAAAAATCCTCACCGATCTGCGTGCTGCTGGGGCCAACCTGCCGGAAGCGGAAATTGCCGCGCTACTCCGCCCCAACCTCTCCTCGGACTACGACACGGAGAAGAAGTCAATTCTCATGGCCGATGGGATGACTCGCGTTAGGCTGGAGGAAATCGTGTACTACGCGCATCGTGAGCGCGACCTCGGCAACGCAACGCGGCAGTCCGCTGTGTCTGCTGATCGACACAGTCTTCGTTTCAGCGGTGGCGGAAATTTCCGGAGGAGCAATGGCGGTGTTTCCAATGGCAGCGCGAACGGGAGACAAGGCAGATTTTCTCGCGGCCATCAGCAATACAGCGGCCGAGATGGCCAATATGGCCAGCCTGGGCTTTTAGGGTATCGCCAGCAGCATCAGCAGCACCAACACCAGCAGCCACCGTACCCATCCTATCAGCAAAACAACAACCAACGGCCGCAATCCTCAGCAAAACGGTTTGTGCCTTTTGGTCCGACGGATCCCTGGCAAACGCAACTTGGCCGCAACGGCAATCTCCCGTTTCGCCGGGGGCTCACATGGGCGAGGTATATCAGTGTACTCGGTGTGGACATCTTGGGCACGAGGCTAACATCTGCATGGCGCCGATTCGCTACAACGGCGTCTGCAACTGCTGCAATGAGGCAGGACATACTCGACGATGCTGCAGATTCAACCAGCAGCCGCAGCAACAACCCGTGCTTCACCGGTCCATCCCTCAGCAACCGGTGCAGCAGCAAATCACCCCCCAGCCGCCCCGCCAGATGCCCCAGCAGCAGCAGCAACCATACTTCCAACAACAACGGCCCCAACGACCTCAACAACAACCCCGTCCCCACGCCAACGTCGCAACCATCCCTGGGCCTTAACTTCTTACCCCCCCCCCGACCCCCACAGTGCCCCTCTCCTCCTGACGGTAGTGGACACCTCTCCTCCTGACAGTAACGGGTACATGCTCCAACATCTCCATGACGACAACTTTAGCGGAGACACTTCCTTCCCTCAGCAGCACCCGGACGGTGGTCACATGTTCTCGTTGTCTCAGCAGCAGCAAGAGTATGCGACAGGCGGTGTCGGTAACGGTGGCCACTCTGGCGACAACGGCTATGGTGAGGACCTGCTGCAGCTGTGGAGTGGTGGTGGTGATTTCCCGCAGCAGCAGCAGCAGCAGCCGGAGACGGGTTTCAACAGCGGCGAAGAGGTGAGTGGTGGGGTGTTAGTTGAAGAGAGCGGGGGGGTTGCTCCAGTCGGTTCCTTTGGCACTTCTGCACCGGTGGACGTAGCCCCCCCACATGTCGGTTCTCTTAACGTGCTCGTACACCCCACCGCTTATCCTCGCCGCTCTGCCCCGGGATTGCTTCGCGTGAATTCGCCTGCTAGTGTAGCTGAGTGGTGGGTCGGTGTTTCTGGCGCCTCCGTGCACGGTACAAGTTCCCGCCGTCACATGTACAACACACGACCCCCCACCGCGGCAGAGCAGTTCCTCCTGATTGGTAACGGTGCATCCATGGAGGTAGTGTGTATGGGATCGTTGGACCTGCTGTTACTCTGCGACACCACCGTCCGTTTCACCCTCACCAACGTTGCCTACGTCCCCGGACTCGAGTACGACCTCATGTCTTTCAACCTGTTGCAAGACGAATACGACATTTTGCTTAACAAGCATGGGGAATATATGATGGACGGTGCCGTGCACTTTGTCGAAGAATTGCACGGCAACTACATCCAGGCATGTCGTGTCGCCCCGCAGAAACCTGTCCCCCCCTTGCAGCAGCCAGATGGACGCCTTATCCACTTCACCGTCACTGTTGTCGATGGCAACAGCAGCAGCGGTGACGGCGGTAGCGGGGGCGATAGCGGCGGCGGTAGCAGCGGCGGCGGCCGCAGTGGCTGTGGCAGCAGCGGAGGAGGCAGCGGCGACGGCGACGGCAATGGCAACGCGCGTGGCACCGGGGGTGGCGGCTTCGGCCAGCACTCCAGCGGCGGCATCGGCGGCAACGCGCGTGGCTGCGGGAGTGGCGGCTACGGCCAGAGCTCCGGGGGGGGCGGCATCAGCAGGACGCGCAGCGACGTGAGTGGTGGCTTCGGTCAGAGCTCCGTCGCCGGCTGCGGGAGTGCCGGCCACGGCCAGAGCTTATGGGGGGGGGGGGGGGGGGGGGC